GAGCGTTCTCCTTCCTCGGTGAACACTGCTACAAGACATTATGCTTGATGATTCACCAAACACCATCGTTGGGGGCCAAGTTTTCCGCCGCCAGCGAGTTGTTCGTCCACCAACTAACTTTGATGAGTCTTTCTTCAACACTTCGTAGAGCAGCCGCGCAAGGCCTTTCCTTTGCGTTAGGGTAGCGATCCTTCCTAGATGATGTCGCTATTCATTGTTACTTTTTACTACAATGAGTAGTGTTTCTCCGAAAATAAAGTCAGCTGCCTGGGCATTAGCCTTTGGCATTAGTACTGCCTAGGCCTAGCGCCTAGCGCCTGGACTTGTAAAAAAATTGAATTATTTGCAAGTCTTCAATCATGTCTGCATGTACGCGCTATCCAATCCAGCCATGTGTCGTGAACAGAATTGCTTGACGTGAAAGGTAGCGCGGCCGGGCGAGCGCGAGTCGTACGCGCTCGCGGACGTGTCTGGCACGTGAAACGAAAAGATTTTTTTGGCGGGTAGTCGGCAAAAATTAAGTGACGGTCCCTTTAGTCCTTCGCTCGTGAAACTAAATCAGGGCTCCCCCTCAAAAAACAATAAAAAGGATTGGGAGTAGGGTCCAGCGGATTCTGCCGGCAGAAAAATTGGTAGAATTGGGTATTTTTCTGGTAAGTATTAGTTCCATGCATGTTTGGTATGTGGATAAAGAAATGGAGCAGAATTCGAGGAATCGCCCGCCATAAGGTTTGTATGGTTCTGCCAATTTTACTGTACTGGTTTTCGAGCAGAATCTGCCACCTTTTCGAGCAGAATCCGCCGGTCCCTAATTGGGAGAATTCAAAGGATCATAATAGAGAGGTTGCGCACAACGAAAATTCGTTAGATTTCGACCGTCCGGGTTCGAGTAACGAAAGTTGCTCCGAAGATCCGTCCAAACGTGACCGAAACAGAGCAGATCTACGAAAATATTTTTCGTCACCTGGAGTACTAAAATATTGATATTTTACAACTCCTTGTCTTGACTCTTCGTACCCGCGCGGCCGCCGCGTCGACCCACTACGAAAACGTTCACGTGTTGTGCGCAACCTCACGGTTGACGAATATTCGTTAGCTTTTTTCGTTAAAAATATTCGTTACGGCGCTACGAATTTTCGTTGTGCGCAACCAGGCTCTCTACAATAGTAATAATTATTATCATTATCAGTGGTTAGAGCATTGCTCGTGCGCGTGATAAGCAAGGTCCCGGGTTCGAGTCCTGGTGGGTGTGGCGTTTTTTTCTCTTTTCACACTATGTTAGTATGTAGTTCACTTTTAATTCCCCGATTGATCCTTTGAAATATAAAGGGCTTTTACTTTTTTACTTTTTGTACGACTCCTTAGCTAGGCTATAGACTATAGTACAGGCCGCCCTGTATGACATGGTATGTTCAGCAAGCCTTTACTGCTGATGATGATGCTCTAGAATCACGCATGCCCTGTAGAGTCTTCATCATCGTCATGTTATGTGTACCTAGGCTATAGGCGGTCAGCCTTTGGGTCATCCTAATAAATAAAGTTATTATTCTTACCTACCCTCTGCATGTTACGGGCGAACAAAACACAATTTGCCATGGCGACCCTCTGCATGTACATGTACGATTGTAATTTGTAATTTGTAATTTGGTTTGTGGGTTTCGGAGTTACTAGTGGTACATGTACTGGATTGTGGGCAGCAGGTTTGAACACACTTTAATTGATGTACAGGTGTTCAACCCGTACATCTATTCGTCTTCAAACCTGGCTGCACCACTTCTCTTTCCACTCTCTACCGTAACCGTAAGCACAAAAGGGAGCAGAATTCAAGGAAGTGCCCGTCATAAGGTTTGTATGGTTCTGCCAATTGCACTGCTTTTCGAACCACTGAGAATCTGCCAATTGTTTAGAGCATTACTAGTATCCACCAAGGGCTGCTTCATACATGTAAGTCATAGCCTAGGCTTGCTTGTAGCCTGCGCCAAGCATTAGCTTGGGCTACATGTGATCATGGTGATGGACAGCCTCTCCACTTTTTTTGTTTTATAAATACAATGTCATGTACATGCACATGTAGCAAAACCACTCTGCCCAGTACAACAAGTACATGTCTGTCATGGCTACACTCTACATGTCTTTTTGTACCAAGTACATTCAGACTGGCAGGAACATACGAGCTCGTACATGTACATGTACATACTGTGACAGCTGTTCTTTTGACCCATCAGATTGCCCGTCTCTCTGATAGAGGCCAGAGATTTGACTGTGCATGTCTCGACTTCCAGAAAGCGTTTGATAAAGACTACATCATCCTACGCTCCTGCGCCACATGAATGCATTCATGGCATGCACCAGAGGCACACGCCTGGTTTGGGTCCTACTTGCTTGACCGTAGTCTAAATGTGAAGCTGGATGGAACTCACTCTTCTCAATATTATTATGCTAAATTGTGGTGTTCCCCAGGGTTCGTACCTTGCCCCTCCGCTTTTTCTTTTGTATATCAATTCCCTTCCTGACATAGTAAACCACACCTCACCCTTTCTCTTTGCTGATGATGTCACTCTTCTAAATGCTCATAATGTATCCCTCTCCTTAGATGAGAACATGTCCCACCTCCAGCAGGATCTGGCCAGCTGCCAGAATTGGGCTCAGAATATCCATGGGAAATTTTCTCCAGAAAAAACTTTCATCTTTTCGAATCATGACATTCCTGACTCCTCCTCTGTTTCAATGGACGGCGTTCCTATTGCCTTTGGACGTTCTGCTAAGCATCTTGGCGTACAGCTCAGTAATGGTCTGAAGTTCCATGACCACTTCCACACCATCTTCAGGAAGTTTCAGCAACGAGTCAACCTGTTGTGTTTCATGGGCAGACATTTACCATCGTCCCATATTCTCCTCTTGTATAAGTCTTATGTGCGTCCGGCAATTGAATATGCCATTCCTGTCTGGTCATTTAGGATCACATCCGCTCAGTTAGAGTCCCTTGATGTACTCCAGGCTAAGGTTTGCCGGCGACTCCTGAAGTCTGCAAAAATAACCTTTGATATCTATGAATCAAAATCCAATTTGAATAGATTGTGTCACTTAGAATCTCTGCAATTTCGCCGTATCTTTATTTCTCTTGTTGTTTTATTTAAGTACATCAATTTCCACCCAGAATATCTCTCTCGCTTTGCGATAACCATATCACGTAGTGCCCGTATGCCCAAAAAGCTCGTTTTAACTCACATGGTCGTATTTTTTCATCCCTTTTCCTACAGAAAACTGGTTCTCTTTGGAATTGTCTTCCACCCCGATTGACAACTTTAGATTCCCTATCTGAATTCAAGTGTCATTTACGTATTCACATTGCTAAGTATCAGTTCGACTGCACTGGTACACCTTTGATGTGCAATCATTGATTTATTATTATTATTATTTTTTGTTTTACATCGGAAGCTCAACAGTGCAGCTGCACAAATATGAAGAGGCCGATGGGACCAAAAAAAATATATATAAAAAAATAAATAAATAAACAATGTATAATATACATCAGTGTAAATGTTCATACATCAGTGTAAATGTTTTTTACATGCTTGTTCTTTTCTTTTCTGTCTTACTTTCTTTCCTTGTGTTTCTTATTATTCCTTTTTCAAACCAACATTTCACACTCACTTTGCGCACTTTCTCTCGCATCCTTAACTATGTTACTAGTACATACACAAATAGGAGATCCCCCAGATAGCTATAGGCGTTAGCCTTTGGGTAATCCTGAAATAAAGATTATTATTTTTATTCATGATTTTTATGAGCGCTTGAAGCATGAAACCCAGCGTTATCATGGTCCATGGATACCAACAACATTGTACGATGTCATGTATATTAAAAGCAGTACGCACGTCATCAAGCCCAATTTCCAAATATGGAAGGTGTTATTTATGAAATTTGACACGGTTCCTCTTCTCTGATCGGCTCGAGACATAGCTCATCGGAATCAGTGCCCAATTCTCCTTCGGATAAGCCATACTTATTTTTGGCGTTCAGTTTCCCTTTAAAGAAGAGTGTATTCATGACAGCAAAACTGGACCAGTACACGTTCATCACCTTTCATGAGTACAGACCAGGGAGTCCCTGGTACAGACTCAGTATTCCCATACCAAAGACTTTACCCTTCAAACAAGGGAGTCGTGGAAGCATTACAGTTTTCACGACTCCATGCTTCAGTCTAACCTCGTACCTTGCTTCCGGGGAATCCAAACTTCCAAATACACAAGCATTGTAACATGACTGAAAGTCATTGGAACAACGCATGGCCTTCAGAAGCTGTGACTGGAAACCCCGAAGCAGGGCTGTTGGCACAAGCGACATCCATCCCATCATCGTGCACCGTCTGTTGAACTATTACTTTGAAGCGCACTTACAGCAAACACACATAGCTAGGCAGTGGCGCTGTGAGTGTGATGCATTCCTCAGCTGGTACTAATTGATCGCCCACTAGTATTATAGCCACCATTCATTGGCGTCAGTGCTAAAAATGGTGTCAACGACGGAAATCTCTTGTGTGAGGCGAGTCGAAAACAATGCGCTGCGCATTCCTCAGGAATTGATCCGCACATGCCGGATACGTCATATATGTGTATAGTACTTAGTAGTGCATGCAACTGAACCTTGGACGTCTGGTGCCAGGTGAGTACGACTCTACTATCATCATGATGAAAAGAGGCTTTGACCCGAAATATTTCCATTTACCAAGGTCATAGACATAGTAATTAGTATGGGATGTGGAACGTGGCTGCATGCATGACATGCCACATACCAACACATGCCATTACTCAGTCGTCATACGCGCACCTACAAATCTAATGAAAGCAGATTCTGAGAAGGAATGCGTGCATGAATCTCGTTGCACAACACACATTTGTGACAAATCATTTCACGCAAGTAATTTAGTTGGGCACGCACAAAAGCACTGGCATGCAACCTCCTTACTCTGACAAGCCACACTGTGAACCACAGTCAGAGACGGTAAAATCCATGTTGTTGATGCACATAGACTGAGAGTAATCTCCAGTGCTATGGGCACTTGATAGAGTACTGACGTGGAGAATGGTGAAACTGCACAAATCCGACGGATGACCTTAGACCACTACCGTACTAATCAATACAATAATTATTACGAAAGGATTAACAGTTACTACCACTACTGCTAAAGAAATCATAGAATCTAAAGTTACCTAAAGTGGACACAATCAGTAGAGAGCAATGAATGATTGTGACGTAGCTTTTCCTAGACCTGATAAATTAGTAACGGAAATCAGTTACGAAAACGGTAGCAAACTAGCACTTGACAATTGGCTAAACAGGAGTGGGGAGAATAGCATCGCTATGGGCTCAAGTTGGGCTCAAATAGTTGGTCGGCTGGCGGCTGCAGGCAAAGCCGCAGCCTGAGCGTGGAGTCTACGGGCAGTCGGCTGTGCTGGGTGCTGTGGCGTGTCAAGCAGCATACAGGTCGTGCCGGGGTAAGTGTCGCAGCGGCGGTGCACCAACAGTACGCAAGTACATGTGCCACGCTGACACAGAGACCGGGGCGAGCGGCGGTAGCGCAGGCAGCAGCAAAGCCGGTAGCAAAGAAAGCAGGATACGGACAGCAAGTAGCAGAGTGAACATGTGAATGGCACCAATGTGGGACCGTGGTAGCGTACACATGCAAAGATAGTTGTCTAGTGCCAAGTAGTGGCATCAACAAGCCAAGGTGAGCTACTCATTACATACCATTTGGTTGCCGCGGCACATCGTCAAAAGAAAGGGGTCTGGAGAATAACGTTAATACGGATGTTCCAGTTTCTCAAGTAGAATCACATCAACACACTGCCGTCGAGGACAGATGTAGGTGGCAACCGTGCGAGGACATCCGGGCTTGATGAGCCTGTCAGCTCTGTTCCATGCCACAAATGACAGGATGACTGGCGGGAATACACACACAAGAGAAAATCTTACGACCGTACATGATATCACGATCCGATGCCATGTACTACGTATGTCTTAGCTCCTGGAGCCTTTGTCCTGGTCTTACTTGCATACAAATTGTTTTTAGCTTTCACGAGAGCAACAACGCATGAGCGGCGGGCACACATGCACAGTCAAGCATATTCTCTCACATGCACATGTACACGCAAACACACAGACACGTACACATACGCATGTACACACACACACACACACACACACCGATTTAGCTACAGTTCTGAGCTGTCAGTAGTCCGCATATACTTGATTCGGTACCAAAGGGGAGAACTCGAGGACGGTGTGTGGCGACTCGTCCTGTTGCTCTTTAGGTTGTCACTAGACGTACTCTGTGTTTTGGCCATAGATTGCATTCCTCTGCTGTGCCAGTGACAGTGGCAGTTCAGGCGGTGACTCGGTGCTATACAGCGGCTTGCAGTCATCAGCCAGAATGGACAATGTTGGCTGCTTTACTACAATGTTACCAGATAGGATGGCATCCGTGCTTCCGGAGCTGCCCTGCAGCGAGTGGTATGATCGGGATTCTCCGGGCACGTAGCGTCCAATATCCATGGAGCCCTGGCTAGCCAGAGACCTGCTATCCGTGTGTCGAACTTGGTGATACGAGGCTGCTGAGTGATGCGAATGGTGACTGGAGTCATCACTGCCGACTGATTTTGACTGTTGGTGCGTCGACGCGGTGGTTGGCCAGTTGTTCAGTGCATTGGGATCGTCCAGAGACTCACTACGCAGTGGTGTGCGCAGTTGTATGGCGCAAAACGGAGCAGGAGCGTTGGGAATTTGTGGGATTGCCACTCCTTCGATTGATGCACTGTCCTTGTCTACGGTGGGTGATTGATCTGATAGGAGATTGTTTGCACTACTTGATCCAGATGCGCTTGAATGCCGGCCTATACTGGGACTGGCAGTGGAGGGCAATGAAGCACCAGAAAATGATCCAAGGTCTCCGCCACTGTCACTAATGTCTGCACTGCGAGCATCGTTGGTCCTGTCTGCAATACCTTCACCAAGCTGACGATAGGGCTGTGTCAGTTGAATCTGCATGAACGGTGCCCGGTGCGTCGAAGTATCTTCGGGCAATGACGACGAGGAGACTTTGCGGTCCATGTGGTTAGCTCTGTTGGCTTGCTCGGCAACAATGTGTCGGGCGATATTGGCATCTCCTACTTCCACACCACCGGATGTAGGCATGCTTGGTGCTTGCTGCAATGCTGGAGGGTTAGGGGCAGACTGCTGAGGAAGAAGCCTGTTATCAGCTTGCTGATGTTGAGGCTGGTAAGGCACATGCGCGTACTGCGTTGGTGGCACTGGTGCCGATGTCTGATGAACCAGAGTGGGCTTCTGCGATGATGATACAGCCGGTAGCGAGTGTTGCTGTGCTGCCACCACCTGATGCTGTGGCGGTGCGGGTGGCAATATCTGTTGCGGCGGTGCGGGCGCCAATATCTGTTGTGGAGGTGGGCCCGTGACTAGCTGTTGTGGCGGTGTAGCTGCAACTGCCTGATGCTGTGGTTGTAGCATAGGATGCACGTTGGTGTTGCGTGGCAATGACATGGCAACCTGCTGCATGGACAGGAACTGCTCATCAAGCATGTCTGGCTGGCTTGCAAGCAGGTGCAGTGGCTCAGGATCATCGCCCGCCGCAAACTCGCGCGTAAGCATCTCCTGACGCAGCGCATGCCGGTAGTTCTCGTACTTCATCACAATACCCTTGACATCCTCCAGGAACAGGCGCTTCACCATCACCAGCCATCCTTCCAGATTTGGCATATCACGGCCTTCCCACTGCAAGCAAAGACAACAGCACACGCATACCAAGATATGGGTGAAACACGCTTTGAACAAATCATACTGGCGCATGTGATTATGGTAATGTTGGGAAACACTGGCTGAACGGTACAAATGGATGATTAGATCAGGACCTACATTCGGACCATCTGTCATTCTACAACCACCCATGCTTGACTGATCACATTTTGTCTAAGTCACAAAGACTGCTCACATTTGTGCGGATCCTGCAAGAAATAGGCCACACAAAGAAATGCACCCAGTCATCAAGATTAACCTAGGAAACACTGCATACCAAAGAAGAATTAATTATGCAACTGAAATACGTGACTTTGCGCAACATACTTCTAATTGATCGTGTTGGGAGCTGTCTGGACCCCGGACATATGATATTAGCCAAGTTGGAATTTCTGCAGAGAAAGAAAGAATCAACAAAAATGTGCATTACGCAATGAATGGCATGCAGTTTTCAAAGAATGATACCCCCCCCCCCCCCCCTCTCCTCTGTACTTCATCTATGAATGTGCAGAAAAAGATTTATATTAAAAACATTAGTAGAAAGGAAAAGGACATATGGAAACGAGTTAAGAGTAACTCTCCACCACTTTCTACTATAATTATACAGTTGCCTTCCCCTCTTTGGTCTTTCCATAACCTTGAACCTTCCAAGTTGGAAGGCTGTCGGTTAGCGCTACGGAGATGTGTTGAAGCTAGGTGTCAGGACGTTGAATGTCTCAGTACTCTTTTTTTTTCGAGTTTTGTGCCTAGTTGTTGCACTTTCTGACTGTATAATTATAGTATCTAGTTACAGTGGTGGAGAGTTACTCTTAACTCGTTTCCATATGTCCTTTTCCTTTCTACTTTTATTATTGGCTCAATACCCGAGTTTCAAATTAAAAACAGTAAAACAAATTAAAAAATTCACGGTTCGCGTGAGACTCGGCCAAAGGCCCAGTTTTCCGCATCCGCAGGAACGCCACCACCCTCTTGGATCAAGGCGCAGATGCAGCTCCTAAGCGGTGGGAGGTGAGTAGATCAGACCCACCACAAAGTGGTCAAAGACCGAAATCCCATTCACTGCATCCATGTTTCCCCCGTGCCAGGCCAATCATAACGTCATAATAATTATTACCGTATTTCCGCGCATATAAAACCATGGCGTTATATCCGAATAGAAGGCCACCCTCACTTATAAAGCCATGGTGTTATAAGTGAACAAAATTCAATGTGGAGGAAGTTGCATCCGGCGTTAAAGGTGAGTTCAATTCTTTCAGTGAACCTACAGTAGCAGTGATTCTCTCTATATGTACCCATCCCCACTGTCACATGCCATACCGCCACCGCACCTTCACACAAGTTTGTATGCCACCTTGTACACATTAGGTTCACAATTTGAAATTTTCAGGGAAAATTGAAAGTATATGGATGCTCGACATGAACGTGCAACGGCACCATACGAGTACTCGAAGTTCATACTCTGCCGATTTTTTTCATGTAAGCGTCTCTCACTTTTAGCGCCATGACGTTAAAACCGAGGCTATTTTCTCAAAACATTTAGTCCAAAACAGCGATGTTTCACCTATAACGCCATGGCTTTATATGCGCGGAAATACAGTATAACGTTTATGCTAGGGTTCAATAAAAAGAAACATACATAAGGCAATTCCCTGAAGTGTAAGTACATGCTCTAAGGGTAGCTTACCCTGTGCAGCAAACGGGTCCGGTGGAACATATGTCGCACGTGGGCCAAAGCGTCTAGAGCCGTGTCGTGACATCACCCCAGTCTGGGGGTTCTCAGTAGCACCCAGAGGAAGCTCATGGAACCTACGGGACGATGAACGAATGAATGTTCCAGTGGGTGAGCTATCACCACTAGCAGGTGCACTGGGCTGCTGCTGCTGGTTCTTGCGACGCATTGAAAATCTCTCAATGGACTCTATTTCACCGGGCAGATTTCGGCGTTGACTCCAGCGCCGTGAAGAATGGCGTGATAAAGAAGTCGGGGACTGGCTGCCAATGCTACCTACATCAATGTTATTGTCCTGGCTGAAACGCCGTCCGGTGTAGCGGATACCGCTTGGTGATCCAGTGCTGTCATGAGATCCTATGCGAGCATGCAACGCCGCAATAACACCGCCAGTTCCGGCACTGCCCAGTGAGGTCAGCGACACGTGTGTTCTGCTACTCTCAACGCTCCTGGAGGAATGCCGGCCTTGCTGACTGCGGTTGAAGGGAGCTGCTACCTGCTGCTGCTGTGCCGGTAAGCCTGTCATGGTGGCAGCATGAGATAGAGGGTGTCCAGACAGCTGGCCAAACTGTTGATGCTGCTGCATCTGTGGGGATGACATGTGCGGCTGCGATGCATTCGCGGCCTGCTGCGGCACTGGCTGTATTGAAGTGGGCGCCACTGGCTGCTGGAGAAGATGGCTCAGCTTTTGTAGAATGGCCTGCGGGCTGTCGGGTAGCTGTTGCTGGGTGCCCTGCGGCTGCGCTGGCTGCATACCCTGCTGCACCAAGGCTACATAGGATGGTGTTGATGCCGCTTGCGGAGAAGTGAGCTGCCCTGACTGGTGAGGCGAGGCAACCTGCGGAATGAACGTTGAGTTTGGCCGCCAAGTTGTACCCTTCATATGGCTGCATGTAGGGAATGAAGTGAACAAGTGGAGACACAGAACATCAGGACATAGATAAGCTGAACAGCACACCAATGCCAATTCCCTATGTAACAGTATCACTTGTTCACAAACTGCTCAACACATTCATCCACAGGACGGCGAGGCACAACGTAAACATCTTCAGGGATTCACTGCTGTTCCGAACTGAAAACGTCAGTGGCATGAGCCTGTAAACATTAGGTGACCACTGTGGATGACCAGTAAGTGAATGTACAGCAGGAGAGTGACCAATCGTTAGTCCTTTGAAGGGAGGCTAACAAACTTACTTGACGTAATAAACACCATAGTCACTGGAATCAACACGCTCCCATCCATCCGGCATTACTTGCATGCCTACAAGGAAGACATCATGACATTAAGACCAGACAACAACCGATGTTCAATATTATTGTGAGTTGCTTGCTTTGAAAGAAAATTCTATGCACATGGACACATGACCATAGGTTCTTTGGTTCGCACAGACAACATTGTAAGAAGGGGGTTTCCACTGCCGAGTGAAAAGAAGTGGATAAAAACTTGTTTTCACCAACCATTCACCTCTTCTCTTCACGGTGTAGGTTCCCAGAAGTTGTTAATGTTGTATCTGACCCCGGTGCAAGCCTCACTGCGTAGTGCTAGCAGTGCAAGCCTCACTGTGTATCTTCAATTGATTGATCGGAGTGGTGACTTCCATGTGTAGTAGACTTTAGGATACATACTGGACAGATTAATACGGGGGTGGTGGAGGGGATGGGATATGCAGACAGAGTCTAGCCTAACATATCTTTGCCCAACAGCATCTGAATACTACAGCGCAGCAGTGGTCATGAGGTCATGGGGCATACCCTAATGATCATACTCTTTAGTCCGTATAGGACCTAGCCACAGTACTCTGCAGCATGCACATGATTCACAGTCAAACACCTTACCACGCTGTTCCAGAACTGCGGGATGAAGCCAATGCGTGTCACCTTGATTATGACTGAAACACAACATAAAAGGCCAGCAAGACCACTAAGAAATGATGAAACGATTATGGAGCATGCTCCAGAAACGGCTGTGATCAATGTCTCCGTTACACTTTTGTAAAATAACTGAAACAGGTTCAAAGCATAATCTGTATGGAGGAATTTGCACCCGAATACCTACAGCAAGCTGGAGTCATGTTGCAGGTGCATGCGGTGAATGAGGCCGGCTGGAGAGCACATGTGGTGAAGTTTGGACTAAATCAATAACCCCCCCCCCCCCCAAGGGAACCGTGATCATTATCCAGCTAGTCTCAAACTACTGGAGACTTCCATACCCTACAATAGGTCATGAATGGGTGGACCTCAGCAACTACTGAAGTAACATTTGCATACCTGCTGATTCTCCCTCTATCCCAGCAGGCAACACTGAACAGCAACACAAGGGAACAGACTGATAGTACCATTGAGCATACTCTATAGTCAATATAGCACTCACTCTATGTAGTAGATTCTCCCGTTATCGGCATAGGCTGCCTCCCATCCCGGTGGCAGAGTAGACAGATCAACCTCGTTGACATTGGCTTCTGTGCACGCATTTACGCAGAGATATGACACCGGCAATGCTATAATATCAATGTACAGGCACGGGCATTTCTGCATGTCCAGATAGAGAAGTCAAAGACACCGCTCTAGACTGAGCCTAGTGGCATGTTCAACCTATGGCACGGCACACTCGGATCCGGGATACTGTGTCACCAATTTCAGAAATAGTCAATACTCTTGCCACCTCAACAACAGTGCAAATAGCATGGTATACTTATTCACTTTAATTAATATTTCACCCTGAACTAATCGGACACGTAGTGACATAAAAGGTCATGTTCAACCCTAACAGTGCTTCGTTGCAATACAAGGGGCCGTCCGTTGTTTTGAACTTTTCACGAAATGGCCGCTTCATTGACACCTACCCACTTACTAGCACTCTCTACAATGAAAGACGAACCATTCTTTTCAAGAATAATTGTCTACTTGCAATGGAAGTAAAGCTCACCCCCCCCCCCCCAAAAATCCTTTCATTTAGTGAAAGAACTGTGTGGACTCACAGAAAGCGTGAGTTAAGAAGTCTGTAGAAAATGTTGAACCGTCTCTGCTGGGATGACAGCTACACCATAGCTCAGTGGTTATATTGCTAGCCTCAAGCGAAGGCCCTGGTTAGAGTCCTGGCGGTGACAGTCAATTTTTTCTTCAGACTTTTCCTGTTTGCATCTTTCCCTCAAACCAATGAATATTATGTGAAAGAAGATAAACAACTAAGATTGGTCCTAAAGAATGAGAAATGGATATGCAGACATGTCTCACCAGCCTGTGGTGTGTCCTCCCTGTTGACGGCCATGTTCTCGAGCCCCTCATTGGCACGAATCACTCCGCCACTGCTCGACTGCAAGGTACTGGCATTGCTGCCAAAGTCCTTGCTCTCATTGTACGCTGCCAGCATTTCCGATGAGTCCACGCTGTGGCGCCTTTCCTCCGGCGCTCCGGGAACACTCTTTTTGGGAGTTGTTTGTGGTACGTACGATGGCCCATCAGCAGGTGCCGGCGTCTGCTCTGTTGTTCTTGCCAGGCTAGGAGAAGACCTGTACTTCTCATTCATGGTCAATGTTGCGGCCGATCTTGCTGAAAGTCCTGAAGATCCATCAGACGAACTTTGTGGCAAAGCACCCGTCGACCCTGCTGGGCCAACGCGATTGAGACTCACACTCGTACGCAGGGCATTCGGCTGCTGTCTTTGTGACTGCGCCGATGACGGAAGCTGCGAGTTCAGACTCGATTGTCCGGCTAAGGCTTGCTTATGTCCGACAGCACAGCACTCGCAACTTCCTGCGTGTGCGCCGCGACCTTGTGACAGAGAATATCTGAATTCAGATGGCATCGTTGTTCCCGCCGCATTGCCGGCATTGGGATGCTGACTCAGTCTGGAAGTTGGCAAATAGCCATTCCTGGGCAGTGCAAGAGATACGGGCCTGGCTGTCTCGCAACGCCTCTCTTTGCATGTAGGGCATCCAGCAGCAGCAGTCTTTCGTGTCTGCACGGGTCCAGCCTCTCCCTGACCGTAATCATTCCTAGACAGAGATTGAGTCCTGCCATCCACACTCCTCGACACCCTAGACGAAGCTGCAGGGTCATCCACGAGCACCTCACGCCCAAATGATTCGTTGCCCACAGCGCTTCCATCAGCACTGGTCACGGCGGCTAAAAAGCACAAAATCGACAATAATATTAGTAGTAGTAGTATGTAAAGCTGCGTTCGAATGACACCTCCAGAAATACTAAACGTCATCGCTACAACTCGATCGACACATTCGGTTACATTGCCAGCATCAAGCAACACAACCGAGGAAATCAGTGAGAAACGATTCAAGGAAAGGTAAAATTCCACGATGGGAACGGAACCACTGATCTACCAACGGGTGTTCGATGTAGACGCAGATTGAGTCCTGATCGTTTCACAACGAGAACCGTGCATGGCAATGACGTTGCGCTGTACAAGTAGGTCGGTGGCAGGAGGATGAAGTAATAGTTGTTGTACAAGTGTCACAAAGACTACGCGTTACACACAAAATAACAACAACACTACTTCTAAACAGGTTCATACACCAGAAATAATTCGCCACGCACAGTCTGACACAAGCACACAAACATACACACACACACACGCACGCGCGCGCTCGCGCTCACGCACATAGCAAAATTAAATTGTAGCAAGACGAGCAGAGAAAACGCCACAACAATGTGCATAGCATTCACACAGGCTTACCGCCAGCACCACCAGTGGCAACTACATTCGCAATGCCTGCTTCGCCAGCAGCCGTGGCAGAAGGTGTCGCTCTCTTCGTGTACTTTCCATGGCCAACGGCACGTGGAACGTCACTGTGCAAATTCTTTTTCCTGCCAGTCTTGAATAGATTGAGTCTCGGCATAACAGGCACAGACTAAAGGCGAAGCCTCGGGCCTGGCAAGAATCGCACAGAAAGCAAACTGCCGACCAGAAGCAGCTGCATTCCAGGGAGAAATTCCTCTAACACCCAGTACAGGACAAAACTACACTACGAGCAAGAATGAATCAACGCTGAAGAGCGAACGACGACAGCGAGCAGTGGTGCTGCAAAAACGTCGCAACACATAATTTCCACGAGCTCGCTGCAAGTCAGCAGAGAGGAGCGTCCAACGAAACCAGCCACATCTCAACAGCAAAGATGCTCAGTAACTAAACAAATGACGGTCAGAAATGTCCACCAACCGACTTATCTCATGTAACGACTGCATAAAGCTAGCCAGTGGACTGATGAACTGGGTTGTTTTTCCAACTCCAACACTCAACACTCAACAGTCCAAGTATTTTGCCAAAGCCAAGGTCATAGTGCAGTATGAACTGTGATAGTTATACTTAGACCTGTACTTCTAAGTTCTACTGATTCTGTTCTACGCAGCACAAGATCTACGCAGCATAGCACGCATAGCAGCCCTCGCTGCGCGTAGCCTACGTAACACCGCAACCACTGGTATGCAAAAATGTATGGCTGCTTTTGTGGGGGGGGGGGTTGTCGGTCACAGACTCACAGACTCAGTGCCAGACTGCAAGTCCATGTCCACATATTAAAATTTAATTATTGTCCAGCTCCGTCAATCTTCTACACACGTACTGACATGAGTCACATGACTAGTCGAGTCGTACTTGAGCTACATTGTAGCTGCCAGGGGACCTGGCCTGCTGGGCTGGGGCCAGTGGGGGTCACAGGTCAAGTAGCGCAGGTACATGTACGTGGGAGAAGGGATACTGGCATTACTGGCACTGGGTATAAACCGGTAGTAGATCTTACATGTACATGTATGCTGCCTGTGCAGCCTTTTTATTTGTAGGGGTGATTATCATGATTATGGTGATGAAGAACCCCCGGGCCCCCAGACAGTAAGAGAGTTGTATGCAGTATGGCACTATGGTACATCATGACATGATTGTATGGGTGTATGGGTCATGGCCTGCACGAGACCTGGCTTTACAGTCATAGTTGTAGTGTAGATCTACTCTGTGGAATGTCGTGATCTCGCTACGTGTAGCTGTCAGTTTCGGTGGTTTCCGTATCGGTCTCTTCTTCTTCTTGTTGACTGTTGTTTGGGTTGGCCCCAGCCCTGCGCCCGACGAAAAGGAGGAGGCGTCGGCAAGCGTATCCACAGCGGACTTGGACAAGTCCACCTCAGACACAGACTGCACTGGACACTTCGGTGGACGACCACGCCGAGAACCACGTGCAGCAACAGGGACAAGATTCAGCGGTACATGTTGACGAATCCGTGCGCCCAGGTGCTGAAAGGTTCTACCTACGTACGTACCGATTTTCACAATTTCGGCACTGAAAGAAATAGATTAAAATAATTACTTTTGCTTAGGGTACTAGGGTAGGTAGAACGTCCTTCTTCACGCTAAACGCACGGGTCGTCCCAAAGGTGACAATACAAATTGACACACGGATAAGAGGAACAAACAATATTCCGCACCTCCTTCTCGACGCGCGAAGAACCGGCACCAACCCATGGCAAACGTAGTACCACAGGGCATCTCTCTGGTCCAAAAGTGATCGTCTTTTCCAAGGTCGGTTTCTGGTTGATGAGTTTCATTAAAAGTGTCTTTGGATAGCCATTCTTTGTCATTATGGTTAAGAGTCGTTCTAGTTCCTCGTCCAGCAGATGAGGGGAACATATTCTATGTGCACGGTAGACAAGGGCCTTGACGAGGTGTGTTTTGGACTTAGTTGGAGTAAAACTTGACCATGGGATATACAAGCCTGTGAAAGTGGGCTTTCTATAAATGGTCGTGTCCATGTTGTGCGTATCCATGTTACGAGAAATACTAACATCCAGGAAAGAAAGGGTACACTAAAAAAGAAGATCAGTCCATGAACAAATTATTGCATATTTCAACCTCATGAATAGCGACAACTCGCGACGACAACTCAACTCATTCAGTCTTCACACTCGAGAGTACTCAAATTCGACGGTCAATGACTGACAGAGTCACGCAAGCAAGGTTCATGTCATGATGAAGACCACGGTGGATTTATGCCATTATTACAATTGCTTTACTTGTGTGTTTCTGAACATTCAAGTGATGATAACGCAGATCCCGCGAATATTATTATTATTATTTTAAAAATAGGCCACATGCACAACAAAAAAAATTGTTTCGGGTCCGCAACCCCTCGAAAAGGAGACTCGGTCGGCCGGAATGAAACTTTTTTTTGGATTTTTTTGGTTCATCAATCCGTTGTGTTATTGCCAATATTGATGGACAAGAGCGGCACCTACACATGTATATTATACATGTATCATGGCAAGGATCAATGTCACTCACTGTTCTTGTTCAGCATGACTTGTGTTGTGTTCCTGATGTCCTACATTCTGAGAAATCAAGCAAAGGGTTTGAGTGCTTACAGCTTCGTCATACCAAGAGTACATAACCGTGGTTATGTACTCTTGGTTATACGAATAGCTTGTATCGACCCCGAAGGTTTTCGAGCCGACGGCTGAGAATCTCTGCTACCTCGTAGGTACATGTACATGTATTTCGATTGTTGGATTGGGGTGAGATTTGAGTGAGTTATGATTCGTTGAGTGCACTTGGCATTGGCACCATTCGTATACATGTACGTTTGGGACCAACATTTGGGGAAAAATGGCCCGGTCGGCCAACCCGAAACAAGGTCATTACATGTACTGTATTTGTTTTGGCCTTATACTATAAATGCAATTTTTTATGGTCGTCATTTATTTCTGTGCAGTCATATACATGACTTTGTATTTATTTTGCGAGAAGGTGAGTCTCCATGATCCAGCATGCTAGCACAGAAGCAGGCAGCATATCTACATGTACATGTACTGTATCTTTTTAGGAAGTGGAATGAGTAATCGGCCCTTGGCGGATTATGCTCGGTAAATTACTGAATTATGCTTTCCATTATGCTTTCCATTATGCCAGTGATTATGCTGGAATTATGCCAATGATGGTGCTATACTATGCTGCGGTCCAATCTAATGGTACGGTGAACTCAGTACAAACAGCCCTTGGCGGATTATGGTTGGTGAATTGCTGAATTATGCTTTACATAATGCCCAAATTATGCCATTGATTATGCTACGTTATGCTGGAATTACATGGTACATGTACATGTATGCCAATGATAGTGCTTTAGTATTATATACATGTACAGTGCTGGCAACAGAAATCCGACCCCCTGAGCGGTGCTGCGCTCACATCGCAAAGAACGTGAACCCACCGCTCATGGGGTCGGATTTCAGTTGCCAGCACTGTACAGTGTACATGTACATTGTATACTGTAGATCTACCCTTGCACTCTTGTTGCACTTTGCAATGTTACAACGACTCTGGCACCATGACAGCACGGTTTATAAGGGGTAACATTCACCAGGTTATTTCCTCTAACATGCCTAAATATGCCTGGAGCATTAATCTTCAGCCAGCATCGTAAGGCTATGCCGACCGTCTGGTCTCAGAAGTCCCGGTTTTATGCCTGGGCATAATTTTTAGACAAAATCCCAAGATTATGCCAGAAATTATGCCGGCGTAATCCGCCAAGGGCTAGGCGTGGTCCTTGGTTGGGGTAAATGCTGAACGTTTGATTTGTCCCAACCAAGATTTCAATACTTGGTTTGTCACGATTTTCGGTTGCCAGCTGATGTCTCCGCAGTCCAACTTTCACCTGTGGTATCACGTCCCAGTATGAGTACATAGCGGAGAGGACTACTAACAAACAGCTCACGGCACTAAGAACATTGAACACAGCACTCCTTTCACGTCCTGAAAACACTAAGTAAGACAGTGAAAATAACACTGCAGCGATCGAATTTCTCTGGAGGAGCTAAGCCGATCGTGCGTCATCACCGCGGATCGCTATGGCAACGTACATGTACATGAATATCACCAAGAGTACATGAAAACCGGTTTTCATGTACTCTTCATATCACACACACCAGGCAGGCACAGTGGGTTGGTCAAAGACCATGATTGAGATACGAGAGGTACCTGGTTCAAGTCCTGCCTGGGAGCGGTTTTTCCAGCCGTGCTGCTACCCACAGTCAACTGGGAACTTGTGGCCAGGCACAAGGGGTACATGGATGCAGCTAATGGGGTCGTTTTCGGCACTTGTGCCAGTGGTTGTGAGACTTACCCACTCACCCCCACCGTTAGGCGCTGCATCTGCCGCTAGGGTTTATCGGGTGTTAGCTGCTGTCGTGAGTTCCCTTCGGGAACGGATACGATATTTTACTTTTATTTTTTATTTTTACTTTCATATCACAGATAATTGGCTATTTGGCAAGTAAAGTTTGGCTTGTCGTATGCAAGCGAGTGGTACATGTATCTCATTCGAACTGATATAACCTAATTTTGTGAGGTTGAATTTGTTTCACTTCAATATCCAATCCGCAACACACCAACCACATTCTTGAATTGTGCATGGCGTGGGGAATGATCAGAGAGCACTATTGCGAGCTCCGGCGGACAGTGTCTGTGCTAGCTAGCTGGTGCTGCTCCTCTAGCTCTTGTGGATGGCGAGTGGCGCGCCCGGCGGTGCTGGTTAGCGGCTTCCCTAGGGGTATCATGGTTGTCAAAACTGGAGGGCCGTCAATCCAGTGCAGCTTGTCCTTTAGTTGTAGATGCATGTGAGCGCTGCGACTTGCCGCCTCACACCAGAGTCACAGTGAGGCTTGGGAGGTACCAAGAGTACATAACCACCGATGTTATGTACTCTTGGAGGTACATGTTACGTATGACCCGGGTCCGATGAGCTTTAGTCGAGCTCGGTGCGGTACTTGGTCTAGTGCAGGGGCTGAAGGCGGCGGCAGGATGGCTGTCAGCTGGGCATGGGGTGGGTCCGCAGTGTACAGGGTATGGTGCAACTAACCTGTTACTTGTCATTATTAGGCATATGCGGATGATGCCGGCAGAAAAATTGGCAGAATTCGGTACTTTTTCTGGTAAGTTTCATGCATGTTTGGTATGTGGATAAAGAAATGGAGCAGAATTCGAGGAATTGCCCGCCATAAGGTTTGTATGGTTCTGCCAATTTCACTGCTTTTCGAGCGAAATCTGCCACCTTTTCGAGCATTATCCGCCAATGCCTACCGCAGTGTATAGGGTGTAGTGCAACTAAATTTTACTAACCTGTTACTTGTCATGATAGCCCCCTGGGCCCTGGAAAGCAAGCCCTGTGAGACTGCTCTTCGAAGCTGCAGACTCGTGCCAGGCCCGATGATCCGCATTGCCTTCTCCTGCACCATGCACCCTGTGCAACGTCAAACGGTTGTCATATCGTATTCACTGGTTTGAGGGAAAGACACAAACGGGAAAAGCCTGCAGAAAAAATTGACTGCCACTACCAAGACTCAAACCAGGGACCCTCGCTTGTAGCCAGCGATGCTCTAACCGGCTATGGTGTAGTCGTCATCCCAGCAGAGACCGTTCAACATTTTCTTCAGACTTCGTAAACCATGGTAACTCACACTTCCTGTGAATCCACACGTACACAGCTACAGGCGGGTGGGACGCAGCCCTCACCATGCTCACTGTCCTCACTAACCCACACACTTCACGTACAAACTAGCACGCGGGGAGCCCCAAGTCATAAGATATTCACTGGTTTGAGGGAAAGACACAAACGGGAAGTCATAATTATCAGATTATCGCCTTGTCTTTTCCGCCCACAAATAATGGCGAGGACACTCCAGGCGAAAGGGAGTAGACAGGCAATGGAAAGGAGTAATCAGAGGTAGCTGATGATGCTGATGTTGCGACGTCGATGAAGACACTTGCGAAGCCATGACGAGATAAGAAACATCTTTGACAACACTAGCCCTCTTCTACAAGAAATTTCTTCCGAGAAATCCTTTCGGCAAAGTGGGCTTTTTCCGAACAGGCATGCCGAATCTTTGCGTGCATTTTCAACCTCACTTCCGCGTGCCGTATCTTTTGCCGAATTTCTGAATGCAAAACCTCGCTATTGTCGTTTGGTCTGATCAAACTGTGCACAGTAGTCTGGTAGTTTCACCGGCGAAAAATCTGAGCATTACACCAGGCGAGAGGCATCGGTCGATGCCGGCAGTAAACAATGATAATAATTTAAGAGCGTGGTGCCCAGGACGCTACCGTGGGGCATGACTACACGGCGAATGAAGCGTGATCGTCGGACACAACGGATGTCAGGCCTGGCCAGTGAGAATGCTATGCCGCACCGCACCGCAGCCAAGACACAATACGCCTATACAGGCTATAGGCGACGTTCCTCTTGGTGACCAAGCCATGGGCCAGTCCCTTGACGATCATAGACGCTTCTTTAAGTTCTGGGCCCATGCCACCGCAGAGGGAGAACGCCAAAGTAAAAAAAATGAAATAATGTGAAGGAGGCATACTCGACTTCGAGGATGCGTCCACCATGCACTTACTTCTTCTCGCCTTCAAGTATTCAGTAGAATGACGGGAGGGGAACGACCCGTTCGTCAAAGAATGCGCTTCAGCTATCGGTCCAGAATCCCCTCACCTGCAGGTCAGCACGGCACGGGTGTTGGGATCAGTTTGGCTGATCCATGGTGATGGGTCTCTTCGGTTAGGGGCGGCAATGGCCTACGGATCATGGAGGCTCCACCTCCACAATCATGGTGTAGATCTACTGTATATCCTTCATGCATGACGTGATACAATCGGTGGGGTCATTGTGCTTATGAACCCTGACAGCTTATTTTGAGCATGGTTTACAAAGAATCTTGCACAGCAGGGACAAGACGCCGGCAGGTTGTCGAGGGACCACCAGTAACGGAGTCTAATCATTAATGTGGTCATGGAAGTCAGCCATCGCAATAAAGCTGAACTGTGCTCATTGCTAGTGCTTCGCCACAGATCGGGGTACTGGACCGGCCATTGCTTGTTGCTGTGGCTGCGGTAGGCCATGCATGGTAGGTGGGCTTGCATCTTTCGCTTCCAGTGCCGCGTGGTAGCGAATCGGCACTGCATGCAGTCTGCAGCGCTGACTTTGTTCACGGTCTGGTCTGGTCTGGTCTGGTCTGCAGCTCTGGTCTGGTCTGGTCCTGCCGAATGACAGCCCTCTCATCCCCATGGCCATGCATCAAGGCTCAGTCAAGTCATTACCATGATTACTGGATGCTGCACCACCAAGTGTTTCACACATCACATGCACAGGCGACGAAGAAACCACTTCACTAACTTGCCTTTGACACCACAGGCACAGTACATTTACAAATGTACGATCAACGTGACAAATCCATACCAGTATACGTTCAATGTCATGTACAGTCATGTATGTGTCAAAACTGGTTGCATAGTTTTTTAGTAGTCATCTAGTTTTTTTTGTAACGAAATGGGAGGCACATGCACAGCAAGGTGTACTCAGTAGCATTACAAAGTAATGTTGCTATCAAGGAATAGTGAACTACACTCACACAGAATACCTGGAATACAGCGGCTGCCTGCTTCTCATACAAATTACAATGACTACTAGTATGTATGACATATTATATGTACATGTATGACATAATATGTCTGATATGTACATGCACAGTGTAAGCTACTGTGGCTGAGCAGTGCCACGAATAGTCATGTCACTCCGACCTTGTTTCGGACTAATGGCGGCCTCACTGCTGTGACAACATGCTTCCCCGGCCCCTGGCCCTGGGCCCTGGCCTAGTTCCAGGCAATCCAGGGTTATAATAGTATCAAGAGTACTTCATTATTCAATCTTCACCCATGGTTTTCAGCACCCATCTTCCTACAGTGTAGGTGTGGTTGAAAGATTGCACAACAGCTGTGTATGTGCAGACTACGTACATGTACATGTACAATGTCATGTATGTTGCCATACCGCGGTACCGGTAGCCTAGCTGCATTGCACAACATGACAAACCGGAATTATTTTTCGCGGTCTGTTATGTCACAGCATGTACAGGAATGACACCCGTGGTCGACCGCTATAGCGAGTGGTCGTGACAGGGGGTATGGCACCGCAGAGTCTCTGTTTTTTTGATTGCCTGCATTCCTCCGGTATGGCCAGTAGCTTGGCAGTCAACGTCGGTGATTAGGGAATGCCAGAACCTGTCAGGACAAAGTAGTGATGACCTGTCTACTTGTCTTGTACTTATCTTGCTCATCGCCTACATTGTACTGTACTCTAGTAGTAGTGGTCCATAGGAATGGTACGCTTTCCAACTGCCAAAGAGAGTTGGAAAGCTTGTGTCTTTTGTGGCTAATTACTTGAACATTTGGGCTCATGTGAAATCGCACCGATTTTGGGATTGCCCTGCAACTTTTTGCTTCAGCAATAATGTTGTGCTTGACCGCATTCCTGTCACTTTGCAGTGGCTTTTCGTTGGCGCAGTTTGTATGCCATTGCCGACTCCACCGTGCTCACAGCAGAGATTTCTGTGTGTGTTATTGTCGTGAAAGTGGACCACAAAGACTATTTTCATCTTATTGCGACATTAGCTACATGACCATGCATGCTGTGAGCCGCATGAAGCCACTGGTGGACAGTACAGGTGAACATCGTCACCCCCGCCTCAGTACATACATTGTTGGTGTAACTACAACGTACAAGGCTCCTGCCGGCTGCCCGAGTCCTGGGCTCACCCATACCAAATATTGTAACTCAAGCCAAGGACTTCTCAACAGGAGCCTCCCGGAGCAGCACTATCTAATCGATCGTTTCTCCTCCGCGTCTGGAATCAGAGAAAACTATCAAAGGGAATCAAACTGCCAGTAGTCGATCAGATCCTCCCCCATCCTACTACATTGTAGTACTTGCAAGGCTTACAATACTTCACTTTTACACTGATACAAACAATGTCATACATGGTCATACGAGGATGGGTACTACCAAGAGTAGATAAACGTTTATCTACTCTTGGTAGTACTGTATGCCAGAATGTGACCAGCATTGGTAGTGGACAGCACTCCCTCCCGGGATCCCTCCTTCTAGCTGTATGCTCTAACCGCTCCAGCAGGGAACTATTTCGTATACACAGCATGCTCTATCAGGCTTTACAGTCTGTCAATGATACTGATCAAACAGAACAGGGCACCGCAGTGGTCCTAAGGAATGCATGTAGCGTAGATGTACATCAAACAAATGCGCAGCTGCTCTGGGTTATTGTACCCTTGTGGATAGAGATTCAGTTGGATGTAAATAAATTACTTGAAATCAGCACACGTAGCACAGACGCCTGCACTGGTAAATCCAATCAGGACTTTCGCACAATTGCACTTCATAATCGGTACAATGCCAACGGTGGTATGAGCAGCAACAAACAAGTCCTGGTATTCAGCTTTCTACCAGCTAACGTTGCGCCTAGAAATTCTAGGTGGTCAAAGCAGTGCCAAAATTGGCGCTCATCATGAGAGCGCAGGTGGCACCGACCAGCTACATAGTGAAACCACCAATACACACACAGCATAGCTGGCATCATGCAACAATAGGGACCAATGTGAAGCTGGATACAAATCCTAGTCAAGTTGTTGCTGCTCCGCACATCACCAATGTCCAATGACGAAGAGTAATGGTGTGAAATGTGCTTCTGTGCTTCGTGTGGTCACCTTTGCAATTCCAACACCAAACCCAAAATCATGTACTGGACACCTGACAAGCTCAGGCACATTCACTTCAATAAAATACTGTAAAAATTATTATTATTACGAAACAATCTCTCCTCCTCTTCTCCTCCATGCGCTCCCTAATTATTATTATGATCATTCAAAAGGGTGTTGAAACACAATGATGTACTTGTACATGGTACACAAGCTCTCTAAATGTGCATGTGCATAAAAATTCAGTTTGAATTGGAGCATTTAAAACAGCTGGGAAGCACTCCAACATTGATCAGCCGAAGTGTCAGATCGAAATTATTTGAAAAATTGAAATGATTCGGAATGATTTGCTAGAGTGCTAGGAGAGTAGTACTAGTAGTAATTGTAGCTACGCATAACCGAGTGTACATGTAGAGAAAATGACAAATGTTCTATTGCCCTCATGACATAACCGAGTGTAGATGTAGAGAAAATGACAAATGTTCTATTGCCCTCATGACATGACCGAGTGTACATGTAGAGAAAATGACAAATGTTCTATTGCCCTCATGACATAACCGAGTGTAGATGTAGAGAAAATGACAAATGTTCTATTGCCCTCATGACATGACCGAGTCACGGTATAGAGGCAGTGATGTTCTCATGGCATGATTGCCCATGGGGTTGCAGTCGGATCCACCGGTGGGACCTATACGAAGACAACAAGAGCCAGTGGCAATTACTGAATGTAGCTTTTAAAACTGCACACATCGCTAAGGTAGAGATTGACCTCTTGAGTATGCACATCCCAGAAACCAGACACATCTGCCCTGCATAGGATAGTGTTCTAATTACAGAATGCAATAATTGATGGGGAACTGTTGGGCCTGAAAACTCTGGAGGCCCCAAAGCGGCCAATTGATCATCTTTTAACAGCAATATCACCACTGCTTCCACGGTATTATGCATTGAACTTGAACTTGGGAGCAGTTGGGACTGAAAAATAACGTCCTAGCCATATGCATATGGAGCTTTTCCTCTTGGAGAGTTGACTGCTCAGGGAGGTTCTACTGTACTCCACAGGAGTGAATTGTCGACGTTAAATAACAGTGCCATAAGTGCTTCTCTGACACGTGTAATATCAAGAAGCTAGCCACACCAATACCACAGCTAGGTCTTGCCTGCCAGTAAGATCAAGTAGGCACAAGGAAGAAGACCTCTCTCATGGACAGGCTCATTGCATACCAAACACTTATCCACACGGTTATCATCAAGACAGGTGAGTACTGCAACAAGATATGCAATGTACAAATACCGTTTTAAAAGTCTTTGACAAGCCATTGCCATTGCTAGCAGTTACCTACAAAGACATACTTCAGTTTCTTCACTCTGAAGCTGATCTTTCATGTATGCTCATCAATCACTTCCTATCCTAGTATTCCCCTGTAAGAGGTGGCATGGCAGAGGAGTATGGTATTTAGTAACATGATCCACGCGTGCCATAGGTCTTACCTGTTTAGTAACATGATCCACGCATGCCATGCGTATTCTCTCCACAGTTGCAGGACTATCCAAACGGAACACTCCAGTCAGACCAGCGTCTGACCTGTACACGGTCCAGTACAGCATACACACACATTGCACAATTGGCACCAGCTATGCAACGATTCACACCATTTCCATATCAGATTCTAGACGAGAATACCTTACCAATAATTTCTCAGGATACACACCGTTTCTACAACAACACTACGGAGAAAACCCCGAACACCTTTAGACAAACTTTCCATTTGTAAGGAAGGAGCTACACGCTTGGCTCAGACATACCTTGCAGCACTGATGGCATCTTTGATAGCATAGAAGACGGATGATGCCAAGAACAGCGGTGGCTCGCCAATAGCCTGAGATCAGAGCATGAGAAATCACAGTCACAGTGAGGCTAGTAGCAAGGCAAAACAACACAAACTCCAAGCAGAACACATCCTGTCCACTGAACTCTGAACTCCAAAGACAACAGCCAATGCTCCTAGCCAAATGAGAACAGTTCTAATCAAGCAAAATATAGCTGACTGCCTGTGTGTCGTGAAGTCAAGAATATAGCTGGAATGTACGTCGTGAAATCAAGAATATAGCTGGAATGAAGTCATGCTAAAAAAGAAGTAGTTTTAGGTACTAGTACATCTTCTGACCTTGGAGGAGTACACGGCCCTCTCGTTGGGAGCACTGCGCAGAAGAGCAACGTTGAACTCCTTCGGTATGTCAGCAAAGCCAGGAATCTTGTATGTGCCAGGTCCACGACTGAACAAGAAGCCGTTTGGTGACACAACACTCTCTTCCATGGTGAAGTAACCCATGCCTTGAACAAATGCACCTTCGATCTGCAAGAGGACCAACCGGGTGCATACATCCGCACACCAGCCTGAGTATTGGGAACCAACCTAGTTGTACAGGATTTGCACCAGGCATCTCTCAGCTAGATGTGCACACGAGTAGGTAGGTGTCATGTGACGGGGCAGTGTGATTATACAGTGGAGACATGGCTCACAAGTACTACTACTATACTGGGCTAACCATGCTGGCGTACCTGACCAATATCAATAGCTGGGTTCAAGCTGTTACCGACGTCCATCACAATTTCTGTCTTCAGCACCTGTGGCAAAGCGGCAAAAGAGAATAGGGAAAATAATGAGCCGCAATGAGCCAATTAAACGGACAGAGCATAACTTCAGATTTGCGCATTCTATTACGGTATTCTCAAAGGGTTGATTTAAAAAAAAAAAAGAGAGAGAGAAAGAGATGAGACTGCAGGATGGATTTGTAGTGTTTCCATGTGACATGGTTCCTCTCACAGTGTATACGCATGCTTTCTAACAGTTGACAATAGAATTTACACAGCAATTGGACATTACAGTACCTGACTATCTCCAGTCAAGGTGTCAATCTCCACTTGAGCACACGCTGCTCCGTAGCAGAAGTAGAGGAATGCTATTTTGCCATTCTCCAGAATCTCCAGTGGCGAGCTGTAGCCATTGCACAATACACCATTGAGTACACAATCATATGCACATAGTTCTGTCTTTCGGAATCGGATAGGAATAGGCAAGGTCCAACAATTTATTAGAGGAGCTCACGTGAGGGTGGAGAACACACGAAAGCAAATGCAAATCTCCAGTCTCTCCGGAGGCGTGGGTTCGAATCCCACCGCTGCCACCATTGTAACTCGTATACTCTCAGTCTCAGCACTCACAGCACATACTTGTTGTTACGTAAGTAGTTATCAATATTCGTTCATTGTCTCACACAAGGAGAAGAAGAAGACAAGGCAGTGCGAGTATGCGCACAGCCTATCCATGCATTCCTACGGTGTACTATTTATGCGTATACAAATTACGTGTCATAAAGTAGCCATGCTACAGCGGTACATACACGCCTACCCACACAGGTCGCGTGGTCCCAGGAACATGTCATTGAGGAGATACCTCTACTTCACAGTCGTCTGCCACCTCTCTTTAAAAGAAGAATTTTTCACTCACTGCTCTGAACTAGCATTTATTGTCATGCATTTTACATGAGCAGCTCCAAGACAACGTGTTGTCAAATTCTGATTTGACTTACCCATAGAATCCAGTGGCGGATAATGGTACCTTGTCCTGATAAGCAGCCTGCACCTGCACATCGCCAACGCCGTAAGCAGAGATTGTCAGGAGATGTGCACATTGGGGATGTGTTCAATCACTGCCAATTGATCACTTGCACAACATAGTTTAGATCATTTATTGCACAGAAATAGGACAATCCTTACCCAATCCTCCCAAGAGCCATCGGGATTCTTGGTCTTGAATGGCTCCAGTCGGTCTCTGATCTTCTCGGCTGCATTCTGCAATGCACATCAAAGGACAGCATGCATGTTACCAATACATCGGCACTCACTAGTAGGTAAGTGCTCAGCTAGGCATTGCAATTGAAATACACAATGCAGTGCATGCACTTGAAGACCTTTGTTGTGATAGGCAAGCGATCATGCCTAAACAACCCAGTCACAGGAGATCCAGAGGGTGAGTGCTCGACTCTTCCCGCCGCCTCCTACATAGCGACGCCAGGGAGCAGCATGCATCACAAATTGCATATCAGGAAGGCATGAAATCACCGCTGAAGGACACACATTCAGGCTCAGCTCGTACCTTGACAGCTCCACCATTCAGGTCTGTGGACAGCGAGGCAGCAGTGGGTGACGTGTTTGGCACAGTGTCGGTGCTTGTTTCACTGAGGAAGATCTTGGATGTGGGAATAGCCAGCACTCTACTGCAGATCTGTATCATCTTGGTGTGAAGTCCTTGACCCATCTCTGTGCCACCATGGGTTAGTAGCACAGAACCATCCACGTACACCACGATAAACGCACCAGCCTAGAACAATAACAGACGAAAACTCAGTACATGTATTGCATAAAATGTGGAGCTCAAAAATTGATCCAGATTCTGCATAAAATGAGCGAACTTAAAGTCATTGACAAGCTGCAACTAGGAGTGGTATTTTGTACTCACTTGGTGCATGAAGCCCGCCTGGCCAAATCCTATGGCAAACTTTGTAGGGATCACTGCCACGCCACGCTTCTTCCAACGATTGGTCCTGGACGGTGAGAAGTCACAAATCACTTCACAAGTTAAAGTCCATGCTAGGAATCCCCACCATTGAGCAACCCATTTCGCCAACGATAACCTCATGAGAATCATCCTCACCACCATCGGCAAAGGAGCTTGAAAATGCAAGCAGGCTCTGACGCATGAGCACGAGTTGTCCTCTTACTTGTTGAACTGTGCAGCGTCCGACTTGAGCTTGTCTAGGTTAGCACGGTCAATGACTTCTTTCCAGCAGCGCAGCAAGGTGACATTCTCCAGTTTCTGCAGGTAGAATGTCTGGTCACCAGTACGGTACATGTTCTTCTCACGCACCTGAAAACATTGTGAGCAGAAGACACACCGGAGATCACACAAACTCCTTAAAATGAAGACATTCACCAATGGGTTGCCACACAAATTCACACCGGAAGAATTCTGCAAAGGGCTACTGCTTCCTCAGTGTTTCGCCTGATTGAGCGGAGAACCGGATGAAAACTTTGGTTAGGATGGATAATGGAGTCTCACCTCTTCTGCTGGTAGGGAGCACCAGCCTGCCACATCAGTAATGATTGACTCAGTGTACATGTTACCCTGCAATACAGCAAAGGAAAGAATATGGAAAGAATTAGAAAAAGGATAGTCAACGGACACTGGAGAATGTTGGCCAGAGATCGTTCCTCGGTACTCTATGAACCGGTCAGGAGTCGTAACAACAGCCAGTTCTCCACATCTGAAACGTCCTACTGAGACGTGATACACCGACATACGTAGTTTTATATCATAACATGCTTCAGGTGTGTTCTTATGGGAAATGAAGACCTACATTTGTGCATCTTAATGAGATATGTACACTACACACATCTATCATTTCCAGTGCATACACACTTGTTCCCCTCTTTTTTTCTTCCCTCTTCGCTACCTCGTTATTGGGAAGAAATTCCCGTTTGGATTTTGCGAAGTAAAACAAAGTTTTTAAAAAAGCAAAAAACAAAAAAAACATAAGTTTCTCGGATGGTGAGCCATGGTGGATGGTGAACATAAGTTTCTTCGATTTTAAAAGAACTGCACCCTAGCTCACCTGGGTTGCACCGAATCCACGGAAAGCAGTGTTAGATGGCAGGTGAGTGCGGCAAACCCAGCCAGTGACGGCGAGAGTGGGCCAGTAGTAGCAGTGGTCGATTCTACCCGCTGCCTTTGTCATCACCTGTTTACAATACGCACAAACACGACCGCCGGTCAGCATTGGTTCGTTGCAGCCAGTCTCCTGGCAGGTCTCCCACTATAGTATATGTACTCACGACATCTCAGTGCACACTCCCTATAGACAGAATGATCATGATACTGAACTGCTCTCTCATCACAGAAAGTAGAAACACAGTGATACCGATGGAGCTGCTCTGAGCTTCAAGGAGACCAACCCTGCTACATCAGTGGCGGATCCAGGAGGGGTTCCAGGGCTTCCGCGGAACTGACCAAACTGGTACCCCCCCCCTGTAGAGATCGCTGGATCCGCCCCCGTACATACCGTTCCTGACAAATCCAGACTCCAGCCTCCATTGCTGTACAACTTGATGTCCAAGGCAGTGACCTTGCCATCCTTGTTGAACCCAACCTGCAGTGGATAGAGCAATCATGTACATGTAGAAACCAAACCATATCTTCTACACGATTATTGACTGGAGACGTGTTTAGGGGATAATCGTGGATTTCCGCGGAACAGCTCTTTTCATGATTACACAAGGGTAAAGATATCAGTGTTGTCATGGGAAGGCCTCAATACCATGTTGAGTGATGTGCACATTACCGGCAATGGTGTACAATCACATTAGGAGTATGTCAGGCTTGGGACAGGATCCTGGTCAAGGGACATCCCAATCAGGGATGGTTACTGTGTCATGGAAGTGTTTCAGCATCCAAGATAGGCCTGTCTGGGTGAGATGTGGTGCTTTGGTATGGCCACATTGGAAAACGTTGACAATGCAAGACCAAGCAAAGATCGTCACTTGAAAAATATCATATGACGAGGGCCTTCACAAAACTCAGTTGAAATCAGCTTCGTCGTCGTCGAGATTTGCTAAGAATAAAACACTGATGTAATGCGGTGGTGTCACCATGGATACAAGTCTACTGCAATCTTACCTTGAACTTGGCTAAGAATGGATGCTTCTGGCCAGTTATTGCCATGTCCTCATCTCGATCCAGCATAAACCTGGTAGGATGGCCGGATCTGTGCAGTGTGCAAACGTCATAGTGAACATGTACTGTAAAGTCAAAAATAAATACAGGGCTTACTCTCCTGTACAAGCAGATGATGAGGCTTGTATTTAAGCCAGGCGTGTCCAGGTTTATGTGGTGATGGTCTACCTTGAAAATTAGGCCTGTACTCAAAGCAGGCTTCTATATAATAATCTGAGAGCAGTTCGCAACCAAGACAACACTGTATATCTGTGTTGGGGGTCAGTAGCAACGGAATGCATACTTATTTAAAACGTTGCAGATGCCACAAGAGGCCAGCATTTCATCATGCTGCATTGTGCCAGAATAGAATACATTCCTCACATGCTAGTTGAAAAATTCACCGTGCTCGCGTCAGATTCAGTCACAGTGAGTTGTCCATATCCATAGGGACACCACGGCGCAGATGCAGCTCCTAAAGCAATGGGAGGTGAGTGGATGAGCCCCACCGCAAAAGCGGCCAATGACCAAAAATCCCATCCTACTGCGGCTAGAGCTGATTATACTGCGCAAGACATGAATGCAGGGGAGCATCTGACTGCAGTGCCGCATTACAGGCAGCCGCACAACACTGTGACAAAACTCTTACACTCGCGCGGCCACCACAGCTGCAGCTGACAGCATACTAGCACGGGTTTCTTTGCCACCAAATCCACCACCTAAACAACAAAGTTAGCCACAAGAACAGACACAAAATTACATAATTTGGCCGAAATCTTTTTTCGAAAGTTAGAAGCTTATCAGTTATTGACACATTGTTGAACTTTGTGATAGAGAACCTAACTTGGTGTAAATGTAAAATTCACCTACGTTTGTATTGAGAACACCATTTTTCCATGACTGTTCCTAAGGTTAGGACAGAAAAAAGACACCTACCGTATTATCTCTAATATAAGCACAGTCTCCAATAATAGCACGTTTCCAATAATAGAACACCTTGGGGCGGCGTTCAAAAAATAAAGTGCTCAGTCTCCATTATAAGCACAATGTAAATTCATTATCTGTACCGGCGAAAAAACCCTGAAATGTGTGTGTCTGACATGAATTTGGCATGGCAACATGCCTCTGAAAATGAGGTTGAAATAATAATGGAACAGTCTCCAATAAAGGAACGTCTCCATTAATAGCACGGGGCGGAGGTACATTGAAAAAATAAAGGACCGTGCTTATATTAGAGATAATACGGTAAAATACATGTACACGCATCCACCTGGACCACATAATCAGAAAGACTTAGTAAGCATACCTGCCCACCAAGCTAAGCTATGGGGAACAGCAAAAAAAAAACACTGGATAGATACAGTCAACTTCGCGTATAACGACACTCGGCGGGGCATCAGAAAAGTGTCCTTATACCCGAAGTCTCAGTATATGTATTACAGTCGGATGTGACTTTGCTCTGGGCATGGAAATTCTGTCGTTATTCGCGAATTATCGTTATATCCGCAGTCGTTACTAGCAAAGTTGACTGTAGATGGTGCCCCTGGTATGTTCACCAAATAGGCATATAGCCCCAAGGCTGACTGTTTACTTCAAGTACAGAGTTTTCCAGCTTTGCGTGGGGACTGGTCATGGATCCCGCAATTGAATTAGATCAATATAGCCATATTGTCTATGAGGTAAGGTAGGTAGCGTACCCATACGCTTCACTTTGCACACCACTCGATTCGACGGCACGCCCAGAGCCGTTGCTGCTGCCGTCTACAAAATAAACAAACAAACACACACACACACACACACACACACACACACACACACACACACACACACATGACATGACTCAACCATGCTGAAACAGCCTAAGAAGGAATCAATATCTACCGGAATTTTGTTCTGCTGGTGTGGTGGTGAACATGGTCGGCTGGAAAGTACGTGCGGCGGTGGGGAATTCGGAATTCTTGCTGAACCAATACCGGGCCAAAAGTGCTGCTTAGCCGCTTTCAAAGCAAATGCTCTACCCACCGAACCCACATTGATGTTAGCTACCTATCCATCTCCTCATTGCTTATATTTTAAGACAATTATTCCACAGCTCCCCACACCAGTGCCTGTCCTTGCCAAGTGTTTCATCTGTTCCCATTTTGCTTTCAAGGAAGGGAGTTTGTAATCAGTAAGTTCAAAGTTCATATTATAACAAAGCCAATTTAGTGTGCTATGATGGGGGGGGGGGGGGGAGAGGAGCGGAGTCTGAGTTCAGTATAAGCAAAATGATTACTAAGACGAGAGGCAATGTACTAACAAATTAATATCATGTAAAGCTCTAAATCAGACATAAGTTTTCCCTTCGATTGCTGAGACTCAGACCTGTTGAATGGCTTCCCAAACTTAGGATGATTTGTTTAGCCACATTTTAGTGCCCCCCCCCCCCCCCCTGGATGAAACTGATTGGCAATGGGCAACAAACACATGATTCAGTGTAGTGTGGTGGTGGTGGTGGTGGTGGTGGTGGTGGTGGTGGTGGTGGTGGTGGCGGTGGTGGCGGCGGCGGCGGTGTTGGTGATGGTGGCGGTAATGGTGGCGGTAATGGTGGTTCTGCATCTGCATCTGCACCGTACACAAGAGAATACATTTCATGTCTAAAGTGCAATGTTAAAGCAGGTGTGTACCTGAGACAAGGATGGGTTCTGAGTAGACGTGTAGAGAGTCATTTCATCTTCTTCTCCAGGCACTGCAAGACTGGCTTGGGTCTCCAAATAGAAATGTTCCTGCACAAATAATCAACAACACAATCAAAAACAGAGCTCTTGACCTCGGAAATCTGTAGTTTGATGTAGTCAAATTTGAAAGCCACTTTGCCGGGCAATGCAGGCAACATATTCTCAGGAATGTCTCCAGTGAGGGTGCAATGTGAGTTGATGTACGCCTGTAGAACAAGGACATTCTGAACATAAGCAGATATCTGATGTGTACGGTGACGTAACGTCATGGAAACCGCTTTGCCACGGGTCAGGGCAACCCTGCCCGTGAGCTCATAATTATATTCATTTGAGTTTCTTGAAGAAGTGGGATGTTTGTCCCAGGACCTTGTGTTGTCTGAGAGTGAGAGTTGAACACGCAGAGCTAGAGGCGAACATAACAATATCTAGGTCACACTGCAACATTAACACATGTCCACGCATCAATGCAAGACAAATCAGCCAGTATCCGTACAACAGGCTCAATTGCCCACAACCTACCCACAAGACTGGATACATGTAGCCTGGTATTCCCAAGAGGGACGGCATAAATAAATGGGTAAGGATAATCAACCAAACACTGGTAATCAAGGAGTCACATAATATCCTCACCTGACCCCCTATTCTCATTTCTCCTTCTTTCACAAAGTCCGAGGAAGAGAATGCTGACTCGCAGTCGCCTTTTCCAAAGGACATCGGATCACCAATAAACGACTCCGCTTTGATCGCTTGCTGTACAGACATCAAGAGAAGAGCCAAGATGCTTCCTTCAACAAACTCAACATGATGCTCTGGGTAAACATGGATTTCCAAGAGTGTAATCTTGAGATTTCTGGCAAGAATAATTTCCAAGTATATACCAGCTTTGGAGCTAAGAGGAAGGGCAGTGTAGTGGAAGGACGGCGGCTGCGGGTTGCTCAAATTGTCAGATTACCCAATGTACCGCCATGGACACAATACAGGCTGCTAACAATCCTTTTAAGACATCAATGGAAGGGGTATGGCTTCAGAAGTTGGCATCGTTACCGTAATCTTCCGAACATTTAACTCTGTTTCAACTTTCAGCCTTACTGAAAATCTTGCTCCAGGCACAATTCAGGTTTACCTCAATTGTGATTATTGGTTCCAGCTCCTCGTACTCAACACGAACTGCCGCCGCTGCTTCCCTTGCTAGCTTCTGTGTTGTTGCCAAGACAACACCGATGACATGGCCGATGCAATAGACCTACAGGCAAAATCAAAATACAGGACATTTTCAGTTTAATGCCGTGTTTGCTTCGGCAAAGGATTTCAGTGTAGGGTCGCGAATGCAAAGTTCCCTTGTTCATAGACACCAAGGCACCAAGAGAAGGCAAGAGTGGCAGTAATCTGATCGTAAAGGTACTTCACCCATTTTACCATGCACGAGATAGACAATTCCGGTCATGGAATTCCCAGGATATTGATTCAATAATTTAGAAATGTATACATACGATGTGTAATGCTATTATGTTATTTGCTGCCTCAGGAGACTGCAGCTAAGATTGCGTGCAACCGGCCGCAAGCAGGTACCTTTCCATCAGCAAAAACAGTTTCATCAGGCACGAGAACACCAATCTCATTCGAACCAGGAACGTCCTTCACAGAGATGAAGTGGCTCACACCTTCCATTGCCAGGGCAGAAGAGGCATCGACCGATCTGAGCAGGCAAGCATGAGAAAGGCAGAACGTGAAACAACAAAACTGCCGCGTTCTATACCACTGTACAATCAATAATATTCATGAGATGACCCAATATCCAAGACTCTTGAGTAAGGCTACCACCGCCATGCATGCGGTTATTAATATCACCTCATGATCCAACACTCATGGAGGTAACACGTCTGTCACTTCCAATCTTTGTTTGGCAATGCATGATGTATCTTAGGGTATCCTGATGGGGTCAATCCAGAAGCAAGATGGACAGGGAGACTGGTACCGGCACAAATTACCTAACCCATCTTAATAAACCGTTCTCTTCACAATGTCCAAAGGACTTGGCTAATGGGTAGAACCCAGCTATTGGCACGCAAATTGCAGAAGCCTTTGCCACAACCTAATGTTTGCACCAAAGAAAAGTAGACACTGTTGATCATGAGTGGGCATACTTGATGATAGCATGGGCCTTGGAGCTGCAGACAAATCCAATGTAGCGCTGATCTGAAGTAAAAAAAAAGAGAGGCATCACCGGAGAAAAGGAATAAGACGTGAAAGACTGTTAATTGCCAGCTGCTTGGAGACTGGGAAAACATGGTAACAAAGCCTGCATACTGACATAGTAAGACCCGGGTGCTTGAAGTCCGGCCATGGTGTTCTAATTCAGACTACCCATAATGTCGTGTTCTGTAATTGCATTTGCCTCAAAATCGTTGCTGAACTGGAGGGACCGCTACAATAAGAGTTGTACGCTACAGATCAGGTCGAAAGGAGGCTTGGTTCAATCGAGCCTGGCCTCAAAGTAAACCTTGACAAGCTATCTTCTGTCCACAGGCAGGATTCTACCTAGTGCCAGTTTTAGCTTGGCAAAAGTTACTTGTTGAAGTGGTCGTCGCACTTCGCTCTACCGGGTTCACAGATAAGCTAATTTATTGACGTTTCTTGGTAAGCATCACTTTACCTTCCAAACTTGGCATGTCATCGATATAGACTGCCTCTCCAGTAGCCTGATGTTCTGCTCTGACATGAGCTAGGGGACGTCCAATAGTATCATCAGCAGACTGGTCGGATGGCACTTCCTGTAAGGGTAGACGGTTGCAGGCATTGTGATAAGAGAATTTCTCAAAAGGCTTCAAAAATGAATGGAAACAAAGCGCATTGTTGTGTATCACTGGCCGATTATCTATGTCAGTCCATAACACACAACAAGAGCTTCGGTTGTTGTAGCTTGACTCTGGTCAAGGCTACGAGTAAAGATCATTTCAAGTAATGAAGTCGATGATAAGAAGAAATTCGGCAGCTCTTTCACCAACCGGAAAGAGCTCTTTGTTTCGGGGGAAAACAGCAGCAACACCATTACGAGCACACTGTTACCAAATATGAATACTACAGAAAAAAGGTGAGTACGGTGCTGGCCCAATTCGGCACTAGCACCCCGAAGAGAAAATACAGCGTACAACAATACAGTACGCATAGCAGATTTAGGCGCACGATGAGCAAATAAGGAGTTGATTAGATTATTCTCGCGATTCGCGACACGCATTGACCTTGCTATAGATCACAGCGTACAAATCGGTGAGACACGTTGGCTACACGCTGCAATACATGCAGTACTAGAAATGTTCAAGCATGCCTCAATACGCCCCCTCCCCCCCCCCCCCCCCCCCACACACACACATACACAGGAATACTGCCAAATGCACCTGTGTTTGGTTTGAGAGCGCACATTCCGCTTCAATAAGTGCTCTGCTGTGAAAACCTCCTCATGATGTACACCAAGACAGTCGGGAGGAAAGTGCAAAATTAATGATTTCCCTGTTCCTTGCCATCGGGAGGCCCTGTGACTGGGTAGTAAGGACTCGTGTAGCCTACCTGAAAAACCTGTACGCTCTTGCTACTTCCGGGCTCTGTTCGCTGAAATGCACTAAGATCCTCCGGCTCCACCTGTCGTAACAATGAAACATGACACGCATACACGGGCACCGTGTGACACAACAACAAAATACCTACCGTAGGGAAGAATGGGAAATTGACAAATCTGATAACTGTACGTCATGCTGACTTTTCTACATCCCTGTGAGGAACTACCCTCAGGGATCAAGGTGCAGATGCAGCCCTAACGTTGAGTAATCCAAATGCATACAAAGGGACTTGAATTTCCAAATGCTGTAGTAAAACCAACGCTGGGTAGCAAAACCTAGATGAACACACTTTTTTTCTTCTCTCGCTTTTCCCAGAGTGCATACCGGTATAAGTTGTACATAAAAAAATGGCAGACATATACCCAAACAAGACAAAAAGGGCAAGCCTGAGTGGATGCTAGTGTATGTGCTACATTCAAGTACATGATCTCTGGTGAGGTGCAGTGCACTCCGGCCGTAGGTGAAATCTCCATGTGACTCTCCCGAATAATGCACTGCAGCTTTACTCTAACCGACTCACCGTCCCAACGCAGTTCAAGACGGACAGCAAAAACTTGAAGAAGAAGCTAATGGTCAGAGAGCGCCTGTACTCAATCTTGCCACCTGGTGCCGAGCTATCCAGTGGCAGGTCATCAATAAGCGTCTTGGATGCTTCTGAGAACAGGTCCTTTGTCCATTCCCTGTGCAAACAACACAATAGTGTTGCTTTCAGTAATAACACTCCTGCCACACATTTAATATCTTCAAAAAAAAACCAGTCCGCATTCAATTGATATGTTGCAGCCGCTGGGAGCTTGTTTGCATTCCATCTACATAAAAAGCAGCTGGTAGTAAATTCAGACAAAAGAAGAAAAAAAGTGAATCTGACCCCGACGTGATTCGAACACGCAACCTTCTGATCTGCCGCTACCGTTGCGCCACGGAGTCAGCTGATCTTTTCCTAACTCGTACCGTACAAGGAGGTGAAGCGCACAACCAAACTACAGGCTGCAAGACCACACAGCTTGAATAACAGATCAGAAGGTGTGTTCTGCAACTTACTTTCCAATAAGCATCTGCTCAGTTTGCTTAGCAGTGACAATAACCGCTGCCATGCCACCAAATGCTAGTGAACAGTCTTCAACAGTCCTGGTGGTGTTGTTCTCTGTTTCGCTCAGTCGCACCCGCATTCCGGCATTCACGATAGCAATATCATCTTCTCGCCTCTTCGCTTGCTTGAAGCCGTAGAAGTACTCATTCTAATGAGAAATGACAATATCACAGGTGACAGCAAATGTAATAAGTTCCACTGCAGTGGAAGATTTTGCTGTGATGTGCACTATTAAACTACTGACTCCGACTGTGACGCACGATTTTCAGAATAGCATACCGGTACACATGCATGATACGCAGAACAAATGGCATCCCATCACTTTCCAGACAACACTGCACAAATATTGGCTCACCGGTCCAGTGAAAGGGATCGTCACGGACTGGAGCACCTCTGCTTCACCCACTGCCACCTTGCGATAGCCAGTGAAGAAGTCGGTTGTAAAGGGAATGGTTCTTGTTCCACCTGAAGTACAGGATAGCCAAACATGGAAGCACCTTTCAAAAGTTCCAATCACACAACCAACACTCAATCAACTTGATAACTCTATGGTACAGAGAGCATACACCTTTGTTTCCACAGTGTATGAGTATTCATTAGCACTATACATGGTGTACCAAACTGCATGGCTTACCATTGAAAGAAACAAACGTCAGTTGACTCTTGGCAGCCACTAGCAACGGGTTGAGATCAGATATGGGGCTGGCAGTCATGATGTTACCTCCAATCGCCTGTTATGATCAACACAAGCATCACCGACACCAACACCATTCTCTGGTGAACTGCATGAACACCGGGCTAATCACAAAGCATGTACTAGCACCCTTGCCTATGGGTGGCACGCTACGACTAAAGCAGCCAAAGAGTAACAGGCTCGAACACCACATCCTCTTAGAATAGAATTCAGCGGTCATAAAATGAGTTAGTTACCCAGAAATAGCCAACACAAAGGAGATGTACTATCCAGTACAGTGCACACCAGCTAAGAACTATCAACTCACTGCGACATTGCGAATCTGATGACCCGCAAACCACCTCAGCATGTCGACAAAAGCTAGCAGCACTCTGGACTTGTGCTCTTCAAACAGAAAGACAGGAATACAAAACGAGGTTAACTGCTTTAGACGGTGAATACGGAATAGTCAACACAACACGGTGAATTCAGTGTTGAAGCACTCTTCACAGAGAAATGCCTCTCCTTACCTGGTAGTGTCTTGATCAGCTCTTCCATGGCATGTCCAAACTCAGTCAGCGTGACAGCAGCACCCACCGTCAACTCTGTCTCGCTGGACTGGATTGTGTGTAGCTCATTGATCTCTGATGGTGATATCAACACTGGATACACCAGGTTTCTGAACTTCACCTCCACACCTAAAGACAGATTGCACAGGAAAGGAGTGTTTCTTCCCGTCTTACGTAAGCCTACTAGACCAAGTGACTGGGCCCGATGATGCCGGGTTGCCCTTGTGATCTGCAATCCTATGGGGACTGCGTTTTAAAACTTGTCCCGGTGCTCAAGTATTGTTCGTTAGTGCTGAAACGACTACGTTTTTACCTTCGTGGCTTAGCTGATACTGTAACGATCGGCTTATCGGCTAAACGATTATTATTGTAACTAAATTGTACATCGGTACATGTACATTCTGTGAATTTCAAAAAAATTACGAGTCCAACATCGCCAACGACGTGAAGCGGGCGAATAGATCCGATGATCTCGCAACAAGTCCGTCAGCTGTTCGGACTGACCAGACGAATACAGACAAGACAGAGGCAACTCACAGGTTGCAACCCAAGAGCTGATGGTGCCCTTCGCCTGTGACTTCGCTGTCTCCGACGATGAAGTCAGAGAAGCCGGCCAGGGGTGCAGATCGGCGGATTTCGATGGATGAGCTGACTTGAGGCGTACCAACAAGAAACTAGTTGCTCTTCTTGTCTATGCTCAAAATAGGCCCAGATGCCAGGCCTAGCTCGTCGTCAAGCAAACTGGTTCGGGAACCGTCAACAGAGCGGAAAACATGAAACTGAAGACCACTTTACTGTCTTTAGCTCAAGACTACTCACACGTGGAGGGAACTCCAGCCCCTGCAGCTAGTGTAGACACATACTGAGCCTGCCCGTCCTGCATGCTGTATGTAAGAAAAGTAGTCAGCTCAAAAGACGGCGACGGTGATCGCGTCGATGTTTCTCAGATCGCGCTTGTACTTTACACGTACATGTAGAGGCGACGGTTCGATACCGGAACGGCTTGACAGCTAAATTTGTATAGACCCAAACCGATCATCAGCATTGATTGTTCACTCGAAATATGTTTGTGGAAGAAAAATGGCATGTTGAAGTTTGCTCTGAGGCCAGACTGTCCGCATTCTGTACGTAAACCATTGGTGTCGTACACAGCTTTGCCAAGGAGTAGATATTGAGCATTGATGGGAGGCTGCCACTGGATGGGGGGGATTATCCCGTGATATCAGAGCTTTCACCGACGGACAAACTCGCTGTTGAGAAACTCTACGGTCCTCCTGACACAAAGCCAGCACCACCAAAGGAAGAATCGCAGACTCCGCCTGAAGATGTTATCGAGATACGGGGTAAGATTACCCTCCCCTTTAATAAAACTTTCATCTCCATTCCTGAGACAACTGATGGCGACTGCTGTCACTAAGAATAACCCAGTTAACCCAGAGCTCAGATTGATTTGCTGAACTGATCCTCATGCGCTCAAGTCAACAACAAGGCATGTCTATATCGGCACAAAGCATCCAAGTCAGCGTCTTTTTAACTGCGAGACGGGGGCATTCCACAAAGGCAGATGACTTTGACGCAAACCAGACAGAATTCTGGCACTCTCTGTATTGCAGTTTTATGGCTGGGAGCTCTACAGGATGGTCAGGTCCAGCCATTGAGCAGCAGCAGCAGTAGCACTGCTACTTTTTTGAAACTTTGACAATAGGCACTGTCTTCAAAATCCCTTGCTATGCATGAATGAGATCTTACGCACTAGCTGCGCATTGCTCAATGCTGGTTTTGTGCGCTGAGCTGTGAATCATTGATATTCGCAGTAGAAGCACTTTCCGTTGCAATGGCCGTAAATCGTCCCAAGAAGTTTTTGTTTCGCTGGCCTATCAACAGAACGTCTTACAAAGGCATTGATGGGGGAAGTGTCCCTATAATGTTCGTACTTACGTACAGGTACAGTGTTAATGCTCTAAACACAATACATGCAGAAACTAGTACTACGTGATACTGGTAGAGCAAGTAACAAGGTAGGTTCCATTTCTAAATGCTCACATCACAACTGCTACATCTTAGGGGCCGTCCATAATTATCAATCTTTTACACAAAACTCGGGTATTGAGCCAATAATAAAAGTAGAAAGGAAAAGGACATATGGAAACGAGTTAAGAGTAACTCTCCACCACTGTAACTAGATACTATATACAGTCAGAAAGTGCAACAACTAGACTGTATATACCGTACTGGCAATATATGTTGCCGCAGTGAGGCCATGAAGCGTTACATTGGCACATGTTTGCCGCACGCAGGCCGTTACATGCAAAGTCGCACAGGAGCCGTTACACAGGTTTCTATATTGCCGCAGTCCTTTTTTTGCTATTGCCGCATCACTTTTTTGCTATTACCGCATCATTTTTTTTGCTTTTGCTGCATTATTTTGAGTGAAAAGATCGCCGCACCCCGCCGGACGCGCGTTACGAACTCAACGAAAATTTGTCGCACTTGCCTGGTCGCGCGTTACGTCGCACCCCCCTGCGTTACGCGTTACGCGGCAACATATATTGCCAGTACGGTAGTATCTAGTTACAGTGGTGGAGAGTTACTCTTAACTCGTTTCCATATGTCCTTTTCCTTTCTACTTTTACACAAAACGAAAAAGTTTCGTTTATGGGTGGGTGGGTCGAGGAGAGTTTCGTTATGAAAAATATTGATAGCTGAAACATCAATCCATTCTAGCCGTCAAGTCAATATATTTTTCGTTCAGGGGGGGGGGGGGGGAGTGTGGGGGTGGGGGAGGGTCATAACTAAACTTTTTCGTTGTGAAAATTATCGATAATGCCGGATGGCCCCTTACCAACTTCCGTGTTACCGACTACAATCTTGGCCCTGGGAAATCCGTGTTTCAGTGCCAGAAGTTCTTTCAGTGAGGTAGGACGATACCAGGTTACACGTTCACCTTTCACGACCAGAAACGGACGCTCCTTGCTCCAATCAGCAGTCTGCATATCAGGCCAGAATGGTTGAGAAGGAGAATGAGAATTAGACAGGCCAAAACTATGGATGTAAGCATGGAGAAGTAAAGCCATATTGGACAGTATACTGCATGTTCATTTCGATATTCATTGCATGGTAAGGTCATTAGTTTGGTTAAATCTTTTCTCCCTTTCCGTCGTCATCATAACATTGGGCATGGTTGCCCGTTTGACTTGCGATGTACTTTGAAGTAAAATAAAAACAAAAACAAAAAAAATACAAACAGGACGTGTTCACATCCCAGTTCTTACCATGAGCTCTGGTGGGAATATCGGCTCTTGGCTCGGGTCATACGGTGTGAACTTGCTGACATCATACAACGTACTGGACACCTCAACCTGGAGTACAGGAAAGGAGAAGCCATAATGTTAACTATAATATCTGCAAGTGGGGTAATGCAGAGATCCGAATATACAGGTAGGAGTTCAGAAGGGATAGACGTGGCAAAATTTAACTTCAAAAATCTTGTTTGCAAGGCAGTTAAACTCCTTCACACCATCCACAGCTATGTTTACTGGTGTGATGCAATAATGTCTATTAAGCTAATGTCAAAGGTCCCCTCCAACTGCCATGCATGTAAAGGAAACTATTTAAATGCTTAATAAAAGCAACTAGGCGAAACGTCTTCTTCTAGCTGGTCACTGAACAGGATTGCTGAAGGAGGAAAAGCTTACTCCATCTTTGTCTTTCATTGTCATACAGCACTGTCCACCAGGACCAGGTCCACTGCAACAGAACTCCTACAAGGAAAGAAGAGCAAGGACAGACGGAGAACGATCAGTTTTAAACTTGAGCCAAGAGAATGGTGGCAATGTATTTCCACACACTTCAACTTCACTCAAAGGTCACCTTATTGGTGGATTTACCTTTGTCAGGCTCTTGAAGCCTTCTAAGATCGGTCGATACCCAGTACAGCGACATAGGTTACCTGGATCACACGCAAACGATATACATGGAAACATCAGATCTTCTTTCGATGACATTGAGAATATGTAAAAAATAAAAAGTAAAAATATTTCTTGAAACTCGGGTATTGAGCCAATAATAAATGTAGAAAGGAAAAAAGCGGACATGAAACAAGTTAAGAGCAAAATACTTCTAGTCTTCTACACACAAATCCGTGACCTCAGTCCAACTACATCTGACTCGGATCTCTTATCTAAAACTGCCACAAAATATTCTTTAGAGAACTGACTCGTATCAAATTCTGATACTGTAGAAGTTTTCATTTCTTGTTGGCTGAGTTTTACGAAATAAACAAGAAATGTTGTTCTTTTCGAACGAACAGGTCTGGGACCGAGGTCCGACAGTTTTGGGCGTACTGGTACGCCGCAGTCCCTCATCTTTTGTTTTCTTGCTTTGCAAGCTGGTTTCCCACCCTCCCTCCCAATGAGGAGCTTTGTACGGTTTCACACACGGGTCATGATAGTGAGAGTGCTGGGTTACTCTCTCGCTCTGATAGATTTCTCAATATTGCTGATACAATATAGGTTATAAGTTGTGCGAGGTGTGGAATGTGCGGATGCTCTGTCGATTGCTGTGCTTTTCTGTATGATTCACCTTGCACAACGCTGTCACTCTATGAGGTATTGTTTTTCGCTGGATGTTTTTTTCTGTCTGTGTTCTGGACACAAGAGTGCAACCAGCCTTGCTGTGGCTGTCCCCCACAGTTGTTATTCTGTGACGAGTGTGTGTGTGTGTGAGAGAGAGTGTGTGTGTGTGTGTGTGTGTGTGTGTGTGTGTGTGTGTGTGTGTGTGTGTGTGTGTGTGTGTGTGTGTGTGTGTGGTGGTGGTGGTGTGTGTGTGTGAGTATGTGTGCAGTACTGACGTGTGAGTGAGAAAAGAACGGGTAATTTTAGCGACTATTAATTTTAGCATTTTCCCATTGTCAACCGGTTAGCGACGTTTTATTTTAGCGATTTGCAGCGATTTTACTCACGGATCACCATTGCACTACTAATGTCTCAACGGATAAGCGACTTGTAACTTTAGCGAAAATGAGTCGATCGCTAAATTCGTTAGGGTTTTTACGTCGCTAAAATTACCCGTTCTACAGTAGCTGTTGCCACTTTACCTTCAAAGGCACTCTCCATTTCCGCCTGGCTCGGCTGTGGATTGTTACGCAGTAGTGTGTACATTGACATAACAATACCGGGAGTGCAGAAGCCACACTGGGAGCCGTGGCACTTGGAGATGCGCTCCTGTGCAGACAAACAATCATCAGGAGTCATTATGCTTGCAATCATAACACTAGCTGTAAGGGTACAGTAAGATCGGGCGCCGAAGAACGCAGGGGCTCGAGCGCAGCCTAGGAAAGTTCTTAAATTTTTGATTCTAGCCAGACCGTTCGTATTCACACGCGCGCGCGGCGAGTCGAGTGACGTCATGACGTTTGTCATGTACATGTACATGTAGTGCAATGTAGTACTTCTAAACTAGTGGGTGTCGTAAATGGGAATGACTGTACATGTAGCAGTTACTGTTTACACGTGTACATGACATGTACTCACCTCCCATACATGTACAATGTAGATCTACGTACAATGTAGATCTAGTGTTCTTAAATCTGATAATTCTAGCCTGGTCTGTTCTTAAATTTTGCCGGTTTTCCAGCCTGGGTGTTCTTCGGCGAGGTGTTCTTCGGCGCCCGATCTTACTGTAGTCCGCTTTAGGAGCTGCATCTGCGCCTTGATCCTGAGGGGGGGGGGGTTCCTATGGATGCGGGAAACTCGCGCAAGCCGTGATTTTAAAAACTTTTTCAAGGGTAGTCAGATGAATAGTCACAAAAACCGTTTTGAAACATAATCATGAGACGTTCGTAATGGCACACTCCCCTGTCAGTGGCCAGTGCATCAGTGGCCAGTGCTTCTCAACCACCTGTGAAAAGCAGAGCCTGTATAGTATGCATGGATTTTTTGGAAGGACCTCAACCCCCACCCCCAACTCTGGAAGTGCAAGCGCCACAGCCCCACTCTCCTCCTCCCACCCCTCCCCAAATCTGACCCGCGTGGCAGGGGTATCTTTAGCTAACTGCCAAAACAATTAAAAATCAAATGCACCGTTTTGCGCCACTAGTGTAGATTCAGGTATGGGAAACCGGTCTTCACGGACCAGCCCGTACAAACAACAGTCGGGACGGCTGGGATTTCAAGACCCAAGCGCCAATGCTGGAGCTACTGCCATTTCCCCAGCACTGAACAATCCAGCACACTGATTACAGCCTTTACCTGTACAATGACATTCTGAGGGTGGCTGACCAATGGGTTTCTACGCAGGCGTTTCTTACCTGTACAGCATGTAGTCTGGTCTTGGTACTACCTATACCCTCCACTGTGACCACAGCACAGCCATCAACAGCACAGATCGGCACAAGACAAGCGTTGATTGCATGATGCCTGCACAAACATGGACCAGCAAGTAGCAGGGTGGAATCTACTATTCAGACTGAGCGATCGTGCCGGGCATACATCACAAACACAAGGCATGTCTGAGTGCCTTGTGCAAACATCATAGCAACCTACCTGACTTTTTGCTCCTCGTGCGAGTATTGTGAGATCATCACTGTACATGCACCGCAGCCACCTTCCCCGCAGCCAAGCTTTGTGCCGCATAGTCGCACTGTGGACGTGAACCAGAGATTCAAGTCAAGGAAAACACATGGTTATCCTGGTGCGGGTGCCTTAGAACGACAAACATCATCCAAAGAAGCAGGGTACAACATGCACTACAACAACTCGGGAATTGCTGTATGCTCTGAATATCTCGCTCAGCAGAAGCCTATGCCAACCGCTAGCTGATCAGTGGACATATCCAGCCATGAGGGATGAGTTGAGGATACGCTTGGTTCTGAGGAACTGAAGAAGGGTCAGCTCTGGGTCCACATCATCACGTTCAACCTGCATAGGCACAAACATAGCTGGCAGTATTGAGCATCCACAGAGCCCTGGACCACTAATGAATGCAGTCATGTATTGCCCGCGGCAGATGTAAAACAAAAAAGACTTACGAAACTTAGGAGGACACACTTTTACAGCAACATTTTGAAAGTATTCATGGGTATAGGTCAGTTCAAGTTTCAAGCCTTCTTATCAGGTGGAATACAGGAAACTTTCAGCCGGAATGTTGCTGTTGAAGAACCCGGAGTGTGTGCATGTTTGCAACAAACTTATGCCTGCATTCATGCTTTGTTATTATAAGCCACATTTCTGGTAGTAAGTTGGCTGCGACGAAATGCTCTGCCTATTCTTCTCTGTCCCTTTCTGATGACCCTCAGTTATTTTATTTTCTGTTCGACCCTCTAAGTCTTTGAAGTTATACATTGTACTGCCGAGGCAACGAACTAAAATAAATCAAAAACAAACAAACAAATTCCAATGCAACAAACTGTGAATAGCAATTGGATAGAGCGGTTGTCAGTTGACAAACCCCCTTTTCTTTCATAACGCAGTTGCGTGATGTCCACGGATTTCTTTGTGCACAAACTGACAGACGGCATTATTGTCACAGATTAGTGGACGAATTATTTGCGTTCTTTGTAGAGCTAGCCATGCCCGCTACCGTTGAAACGAAGCATAAGCAGCTAACAAGACTAGGAATGCACGCGGGAGAACGGTTTCTAGGTTTGGCACACACCTTCTTGCCATTGACGAAAAACCTCAGCAGGTTTGAGGTGCCGCTCTGATCCGCCATGACCACCAGTCTCCTCCTCCGCGTTAGCGCTCTTGGCTTGAGCAATCAAAAATTTAATGTGTTTGAAATAATCACAACGATCGATCGAGCTGATCGCGAGTGGTACGGTACCTAATTTTTCGGTAAAAATTTATTTGAATCGGATTTCACCTGACGCCATGCCATGCGGCGCCGCCATGCAGTGGCAGTGACGGTATAGCCACCAAAACCAAAATTATTTTCTGTCTTGCCGCTCGCCGGCCCGGCAGAGCAGATATTATAAATAAGGGTTCAGTTGCTCACCGAGGCGAGAGGGCCCTCCTCGTACTGGCATCGCCTGTGTGCGCGTTTGCATTGCTGACTGATCATGCTGATCGCGTGAGTCTTGTGTCGCTGTCACATCAAAAGGTCCGACGACGACTGAGTCGACGACGCTCATCAGTGATACGATAACTGCACTGATATAATGAGTCTGTAGTAGTCGACGTCCGATTTTGACAGGTATTTTATGCCTTTAAATATGCCCAAATGAAATGGTCGTCTTCGGAGCTTCGTTATCGGAGTACAAGCGTAGCTACTAGCAGACGCCTGCCATCACTCATCAGTGCACCATTGTCATTGGTACACTGATGGTGATCACTTCATGTTCATGGCTTTAGTATCGTAGTTGTGTGACATGCCCCAACTGTCCCCATCGCGAGGATTGATTGCCAAGGACAGATTCCGTAGATTCTACAACGGCTGTCTTCTATTTTCTACTACATCACAACAAGAGTACATAATCATGATAATTACTAGTATGTCTTTATAATTATAGATTATGAACCCCTTTCAAATTACATGTACTAGTTCCATGTCTCTTGATTACGCTCTACTACTACTGTAGTACATGAGTCTCCACAATAATGATAATTATAATCAGTGACACTGAAACAGTAACTGACAGTCTGTGCCCATCCTGTCACAGTGACACCGAAAACTTACTTCGCTGCACATCATCTGACTTGGCTAAGAAACACAACATAACAGTTACAGTGCTGTTGTTACTGTCTGTCTTTACTTGACCAACTCGCCCCATATCCCATGCATGCCCATCGATGCATCCGTTTGCAGGAAAACAATTTTTTTTGCTGCGGCCGCCCGACGTTGAGATACCCTGATATTAGTACTGCGGCTGATATTGTACTTTCAAGTTAATGGTTAATGTTTGAGGATGAGATGAAACAGTCAATGATCTCTACAAGCTATACCAAAATACTAGTCTGCCCGCAGGTATCTACTTCCCTGAGGCGCTCGCTACCACTCCGCTCTCCATCATGGAGGGAAACCTGTCTGTAGCGAGTGACGTGACGTCCATCCTGATATTTTTCGTGAACGGACAGAAGGTAAGCCTTTTGTCCGGAGGGGCAGCGAGTGGGACCAGACCGTACATGCACCTACAATCACTGTTTCTTCCTTCTATTGAAATAAATATTACCGGTATAATAAATTGTTGTCACAAGTTAGTGGGTAAACAATACCCCGTCTCATAACGTCACGTGCAGCACACGTATGCATCATCGCTACAATAAAAATAGAAAAGAACCCCCAAGGTCGGCTTGGAAGTGTTGACACACAGCTATCCAAGCACTGCTCTAGGACTAGGTCAGGGTCATGAATTCGTTTCCCCTCTACAGTTGTAGTAAATGAAATGTGGACCGATGTAGAGGGGACGGCTCGATACCGGGACGCTTTGACAGCCAAATTTGTATAGACCCAAACCGATCATCAGCGTTGATTTTTCACTCGAAATATGTTTGTGGAAGGAAACTGGCATGTTGAAGTTTGCTCTGGGGCCAGAGTCAATCGAACTGAGCCACTCCTTTATGTTGACCCATTGCCTCCAAGTTGCCCAATTTTTCGCTTCAAAAAAGTTCAAATCAGAGGTGGCTCCAAACCGGACACGTTTTAGAGTGCACGTCAAATTCACTCTGGGTCTGAAATTAGGTAATTGCTATCGCTCCACGACGGCCAGTACAGAATAACAATAAGCCGTGTGTGTGCTTCCATTAGTTTTGATTGGTATGCGGTGCTTTATTGGCGAGAGGCGAGCCGCTGTTTACCTGCGACAAGAAGTTGATTTTTCGAAAGTCGTAAAACTCAAGTCGCAGTGCGAAGCAACACGTCAAAAACTCACCTGCTTGGTATGGCGCTTCTGGTCATCGCAGAGCCATGAAATTTTGGCTCATAACACATCGTAGTCTCACTGTGACATATGTTTTCTAATCAAAACACCAAGAGAGAAAGTGAATATTGAGTCCATTCCGGTTTGCAACCTGTGTCCTATTTGAAACCGTCCCCTCTACATATTGCATTGCCGAAGACCGCCGCTTGGCCTCGCACCTATAGATGCGAGGCCGAGCGGCGGTCTTCGGCAATGCCTTGTATATTATGGTGTTGAAAGTGTACATCACGTCAGGACACATTTTATTTGCCACAACTTTCGGTATAACAAAACGAAATAGTGATACAGTCAGACCTCACATATCCGCACCCATCCGTTTTCCACAAAGATATCCGGATAGGCGAGGGAACCGGATAATCGAACACACATACTGTATGTAAGCATGGCATATGCTGTTAAAAAGGGGAAGTTAAGGCAAAAATTAAAATTTCACCGGTTGTAGTCTTCGGGGTGCTAAGTCGAATGGTCTTGGTCCGAGAAAGCTGAGACGCTCCCTTCCTACTTGAATCCCAATCGAACTCGCGCACTTCCACCGAAACTGGGTGACTGCGCCCTACGAGATGGGGATTTGTATGCAAAATGTCACTAAAAGCGCCATTTCGTTCTTATAAAAGCACGGATGACCGCGATTGGCCCATATGTTGTACTCTTTTGGACGCTGAGTCGATTGGTTTTGGTCCGAAAAGGCTGCGATGCAGCGTTCCTCCTTTATTCCCAATCGAACATGGTTGAACAAGCGGTCACGTGCTCCTGGGTGCCCAAATCACCTGGTCACCACGCCAGCAGGCGACAACTTTCACACCAAGGTTCAACTCGAGTTCAACTCGAGTGACAGGACTGCACCCAAAAAAGGTCAAACAGCTGTCCCCGGGGAAAATTGCGGAAAAAAATCGCAAAAAACGCGGGGAAAAACGCGGCATAATATGGCATAATTTGCTGTGAATTTGCGGTAAATATGCGGTGAATAATATTGATGTGCGGCAATTTTCAGTGAGTATGTAGTGAAATCAATCAGTTACAAGTCTCTGGTGTAAGCACTCGTCATATTTGAGTAAAAAGCCGCCACGATGAGACGTTGCTGACCGAACAGTGCACTGTGTGTACGTGTAGTGCAACAAAAAAGTTCAAAAAACGCGGGGAAAATCGCGGAAAACGCGGTCTTTTGAAAAATCGCAAAAAAACGCGGAAAAAAACGCGGCCGCGGAATCGCAATTTTCCCCGGGGACAGAAACAGGCTAGTAAGTTGTACCCTGCAGGCACGTGACCAGGTGACTGGCGTACGCAGGAGCACGTGACCGCTTGCTCAACCATGTTCGATTGGGAATAAAGGAGGAACGCTGCATCGCAGCCTTTTAGGACCAAAACCAATCGACTCAGCGTCCAAAAGACTACAACATATGGGCCAATCGCGGTCATCCATGCTTTTATAAGAACGAAATGGCGCTTTTAGTGACATTTTGCATACAAATCCCCATCCAGTAGGGCGCAGTCACCCAGTTTCGGTGGAAGTGCGCGAGTTCGATTGGGATTAAAGTAGGAAGGGAGCGTCTCAGCTTCCTCGGACCACGACCATTCGACTCAGCACCCCGAAGACTACAACTGGTGAAATTTTAATTTTTGCCTTAACTTCCTCTTTAATTGGTAACCAACGATTTTCTTCCGGATGGCGAGGGATCCGGATAAACGAGGACCGGATAAGCGAGGTCTGACTGTAATGGTGCCGAGTCGAATGGTCTTGGTCCGAGGAAGCTGAGACGCTCCCTTACTCCTTTATTCCCAATCGAACTCGCCACTCCCACCGAAACGGGGTGACTGCGCCCTATTATAAAAAAATGGGGATTTGTATGGAAAATGTCACTAAAAGCACCCTTTCGGTCTTATAAAAGCACGGACGACCGTGATTGGCCCATATGTTGTAGTCTTTTGGACACTGAATCAACTGGTTTTGGTCCGAGAAGGCTGCGATGCAGCGTTCGGCCCATATTCCCAATCGAACACGGTTGAGCAAGCGGTCACGTGCTCATGCGTACACCAGTCACCCTGCCTGCAGGCTACAACTTAGAGCCTGTTTGGCCGTGTTCCTGTCACCTTGAGTTGAACCTTTTTCAGCAGCACCGGAACTAACCACTGGGCCCGGAGCGCAACCCCATGAAGGTTCCCACCCATCTAATGATATGTGTTATGTTCTTGCCTTGAATCTCTCTGTTCTTCAGGTAGTGCTCAAAGATGCAAATCCCGAGCAAACTCTGCTGCAATTCTTACGCAATAACTGTATCCTCCTACTCTGTGCCGAATGTATTTGATTGTCAACAATATGTGGCCTAATTTTATTGTGACCGTCTTTGTACTACAGGTTCCAACACTGCACATTGTTATGTTTGCCCTTGACTAATTCCTGCCCATGGCATGTCCACAGTACGACTATGCGGCACGAAACTTGGCTGCGGTGAAGGTGGATGTGGCGCTTGTACTGTGATGATCTCACAATGCTCACCCCACGATCAAAAAGTCAGGTAAAAATCCGCAGTCTTTACGTACTGGATGGAGACGGCTGTACTGATACTCCCTTCATGCACAATGCAGTTTTGTCATCTGTGCACCCCGCTGGGTTAACTTGTCTGATTAGAATCCTCTCGCTGTATTTGGCTGACTCCTCTGTGCGCTCGGCTTGCAGGCATCAAGCAATCAACGCCTGTCTTGTGCCGATCTGTGCTGTTGATGGCTGTGCTGTGGTCACAGTGGAGGGTATAGGTAGTACCAAGACCAGACTACATGCTGTACAGGTAAGAAACGCCTGCGTAGAGCACACACTGGAGTTCTGCCCGGACATGCCAGATGATCCTCTTCAGCACGGTTCGGAGTGGCTATCCAATGCGCCATATGGGCATATAACAATGGGTAGGGACACGGCCATGCATGCATTACTGCCAGCGCTCTAGCCGTTAGATATGTGCAGCAAGTATTACCCATTAGTATCTAGCAATATCCAGGCTTTCCCCAATTCTATAGCGAAATTGACCGTTTTGCAAGTCTATACTCTATGCACACAATGCTGTCTTATCTTGCATTATCTCTGACTGTACCTTGTAGGAACGCATTGCCAAGTGCCACGGCTCCCAGTGTGGCTTCTGCACGCCCGGTATTGTGATGTCAATGTACACGCTACTGCGTAACAATCCACAGCCGAGCCAGGCGGAAATGGAGGGTGTCCTTGCTGGTAAATTGTGCCATTGATCAACCACATAATTATTAAGATAATACGCAGGGGAGGCTCTGAATGAAACCAAAGACACAAAATTCAGCACAACAGTGGACAGGCACGGTTCGTCCTATCTCCAACCGTCGTGCACTCAGCAATAATCAGGTGATTGACATGAAACCAGGGGTGTTATATGAAGATGTCTGTATCCTGGCAGCTCTGGTCAAGTGATAATTTGTCAAGTTAGGTGGTAAAATTGTGGAAAATAGTGACCCGAAGACGCTGGTAATGAGAAACTGGTACCTGCCGCAGAAAGAGCATACAGAGCATGAGCGTGGATCATGAAAGTGTAGAACATTAACTTAAGCATGGACTCTGTATGGTAGCCTTGAGTCAGTCAAGTGTCAAGTCAAGTCAGCGGGGAACGCCCAGCAAAGGTGTGGATAGTGGAAGTGTAGCACATGGGTGTGGATAGCGGAAGTGTGGAGCATAGATGTAGATAACAGAATTGATGTGAAAAGTGGTAGCGTGGCGTATAGGTGTGGACACTGGAAGCATAGCGCATGGGTGTGGACAATGGAGGTGTAGGGCATAATGTGATATTCTTGGTGGTCGTGGACTTGTGGCGACATGAGAGAGGTGACTAGTGAAGAGGAACTGGCATAACCTAGTAATGTTAGGTGCAATGTTAGGTGCCAGTTCGTCATCATCTACCTCTTTGTGTCACCATTCTGCAAGATTTACTACATGTATGATCTACGGAGTTATCCCCTGACCAGAGCTGCCAAGATACAATGTATATCTTCACATAGTCCCATACCATTGTATCAGTCACCTGCTTGTATCAGTGAGTCACCTGCTTTTTTGGTTTTAACTGTTAAAAGTGCATAGATGTGACGAACCGTTCTTGCTCTGTGCTGAATTGTGTATTATAATATTATGAGTACACGAGTGCATGTACATGCAATGGAGTTCCATTAAGAAGAATGCGTCAAGGCAAAGTTTCGCTGTGCAGAACTAGTAGTAGCAGCTCTATTGGCTCAATACATGAATATTCACTGTGTATAGGGCATGGATACGAAGAACTCCTGTTATTAAAGGGGCACTCCGGGAATATTTTCGGTGGTGTGTTCTCTTCATGGGGGCCTTATATGGCCCCCAAGGAATGGGGAATCGCGAAAACTAGGCCCAAAAAGTCGATATATGAAGCTAGGGAGGGCCAAGTTTGTCTCCTCTTTTGATGGTTTTGATGACGTCACGTGTGATTAGTATTCAAATTCTCTGCATTTGAAGATCTTAGTTGTTTGAATTTTCTGGTGATGAAGAACGATGTTTGGTCAACATTCCCAAGCTTCACAACTGCGACCATACTCTAAGGAACCTGAAGGACCTCCTGAGGTGCCACTGGTAGAAGCGCAGCCTGATGACGGCCAGGAAATTGGAGCGGACGACTTCACTGGTCGACAAGGAAATAACGATTGGTGTTCCTGCCAGAAATGTGGGGTGATGCAGAGGGCAGTCGATTACCTTCGCTGTCGAGAGAGCGCTGCAGCTGTTAGCATTGACAGCCCTTTGACGTGCGTTACACATCACCCCGACTTCGTGTCAGCTTGTCTAAAAAAACTGTTCTGACCATATGCCTCACGACATATAGAGAATTTCGGGATCCTCGTACGCGGACCAGTGAAGTCGTCCGCTCCAATCTCCTGGCCCTCATCAGGCTGCGCTTCTACCAGGGGCACCTCAGAGGGTCCTTCAGGTTCCTTAGAGTAGGTCCGCAGTTGTGAAGCTTGGGAATGTCGACCAAACATCGTTCTTCATCACCAGAAAATTCAAACAACTAAGATCTTCAAATGCAGAGAATTTGAATACTAATCACACGTGACGTCATCAAAACCATCAAAAGAGGAGACAAACTTGGCCCTCCCTGGCTTCATATATCGACTTTTTGGGTCTAGTTTTCGCGATTCCCCATTCCTTGGGGGCCATACAAGGCACCCATGAAGAGAACACACCACCGAAAATATTCCCGGAGTGCCCCTTTAAGATCTCCATCGGTCCCTTGGCATTCATCCTGAAGAGGTTTGGCCATATTGTCCCTTTTCCTGATCGTTTGTATACTCACTTGTCATTCATACTACCTGATCCCTACAGGTAAAGAGTGGACACTGAGAGTAACAATGACCTTTTCCTATGCACGTACCTGTATGTGGATGCCTGTATGTCCAATTTGTACACAGTTTGAACATATGCTAGTACTGGCATGTGTGTTTTGTGTAGGAGGTGAGGGACTTTCCCCTGTGTGCATTTCAAGGTGTGTCGGGGCTGCAAACTCTATACATCTCGTGTCTTCACGCAGTACTAATGCATGGTTTTGGTTCTAGAATGTGTGGGGTTACCGGGATTACTGTGTTCCCGGGCATGTCACGTACCAGTCAGAAACGCCCCTGGGCTGCATATCGGTATCGTAGGTCCAGTAGCTAAGTCCATTGTTGTGCTCTCGTCCTTTGGTTTGCATTATCTCGTGTCTTTGCACACAGGCAATCTCTGCAGATGCACTGGTTACCGACCTATCCTGGAGGGCTTCAAGACGTTCACCAAGGTAAACTTGTAGTGCGAAGCATGCACACGCGTCGCCCGTGGCATGTTGTATCGTATTATCAATGTCTGCGTTCGCTTTCACTTGTCGCTTGCTATTGTTCCTTTCATGCATTCTACTGTTTCCTTTTTTTCTTCACCATCACTTTTCAGGAGTTTTGCTGCAAAGGACCGGGTGCTGATGGTCAGTGCTGCATGACAATGAAAGATGAAAGTGGGGTAAGCTGCGCAATCTTCAATAGCGGCATGCCATGATAAGCCCACATGCCCACATGTAGCCTCGTTTATGAAGCATTTCGAGCCATGGATGTGGTACACGGGAGGAGAGGAGAGGGGGGGGGGGGGGGGTGTCGAAATTTAAACCTGGCACATCAGTCTGCATCCTGGATATAAGTACATAGGCATCAGTACTCATCTGGTATGTGTGTGTGTGTGTGTGTGTGTGTGTGTGTGTGTGTGTATGTGCTTGTGTTCATGCGTTTTGCGTGGGTGGGTATATAGAGAGTGGACTGTGGGGTGCGGGGGGGGGGGGGGGGGGGAGACAATATCCTCGATCTCTCCACAGCTAGCTTCATGTAGCTGTTCATGTCTTGTTCTTGTACTTGTTCTTGTACTTGTAGGTTGATGTCTCCACAGCATTGCATGACGTCAGCAAGTTTGCGCCGTATGATCCTACCCAAGAGCCAATATTTCCACCAGAGTTGATGGTATGAGCTATGGATACAGTCTTTTCTCACTTATTCAACCACTATGGAAATTCCCACAACAAACGTCTATCCACCGTCTTTTATCACTGAGAGGAATACATGTACACCTCGTGGTTTACAGTTTTGGGCCGATCCGGTATGATGTTTGTATTGTGTTAAGAGTCTTGGGACAGCAATATAAATATCCCGTTTGTATTGCATAACTATGTTCCTCATAGATTTCCAAACGATCCAAGACGCCGTCACGTTTGATCGTAAAAGGTGAACGTGTCTGCTGGAATCGACCTCAGAGCTTGGAGCAGCTTCTCTCCCTTAAACATCAATATCCTAGGGCACAAATTGTAGCTGGCAATACAAAGATTGGTAAGCTTGCCCTTCTACTGAGGCCTGTTATCAGCTGCGACCATTTATTATGCTGATAGTGTTTGTACTTCAACGTATGTTGAACGGATAGAGTGCGAAACAATGATTGCTATCTGTGATCTGATGTGCTTACATACTTGGTTGGCCTAACTCCAGCTTAGCTTGCTTGTCAGATTACAGGTCAGCTAGCACCGGTCAAGTATATGTACATATGGCAAAGTGGCGTGTCACGTCCAATGGTTAATGCATGCATATTGTTCATGCACTTCGCGGGTATGATTCAATTGAAAGTATGAAAATAAGGCTTTGTAACCTATTTTATAGTATTGTTGTCTGAGATATGCGAAGATTGAAACGGGTTTGAATATCCAGAGCAGTAATAAGACATTAGTAAGAAAATTATCGGGTCCGTTCCCAAAGGGAACTCACGACGGCCGCTAACACCAGGTAAACCCTAGCGGCAAATGCAGTGCCTAACGGTGGGGGTGAGGAGGTAAGTCTCACAACCACTGGCACAAGTGCCGAGAAACCCCATTAGCCGCATCCATGTCCAGAGTAGCAGGAAGACAGTAACTCTCCATACCTCTGTCTGTGTTGTGAATCTAGGTTTGGAGATGAAGTTCAAAAATCACGTGTATCCAGTGTTGATATCACCATCAGAGATCAAGGAGCTACACACAATCCAGTCCAGCGAGACAGAGTTGACAGTGGGTGCTGCTGTTACGCTGACTGAGTTTGGACATGTCATGGAAGAGCTGATCAAGACACTGCCTGGTAAGGAGATGATGTAGCCTTGTGTGCAAGGATGGGTTGCATTACAGTGAACTTCGCTAATATCAACTGTGGATATAACGACAATTCGCGAATAACGACGGAACTCCCATGCCCAGAACAAAGTCAAATCTAACTGTATACATATAATGAGACTTCGGGTATAAGGACACTTCGTGAATAAGGACACTTCTCTGATGCCCCGCCGAGTGTCATTATACACAAAGTTGTCTGTATGTCCAATGTGTATTAGTGTGTGTGTGTGTGTGTGTGTGTGTGTGTGTGTGTGTGTGTGTGTGTGTGTGTGTGTGTGTGTGTGTGTGTGTGTGTGTGTGTGTGTGTGTGTGTGTGTGTGTGTGTGTGTGTGTGTGTGTGTGTGTGTGTGTGTGTGTGTGTGTGTGTGTGTGTGTGTGTGTGTGTGTGTGTGTGTGTGTGTGTGTGTGTGTGTGTGTGTGTGTGTGTGTGTGTGTGTGTGTGTGTGTGTGTGTGTGTGTGTGTGTGTGTGTGTGTGTGTGTGTGTGTGTGTGTGTGTGTGTGTGTGTGTGTGTGTGTGTGTGTGTGTGTGTGTGTGTGTGTGTGTGTGTGTGTGTGTGTGTGTGTGTGTGTGTGTGTGTGTGTGTGTGTGTGTGTGTGTGCCAGCTAGTTCGGTTGGTGGGTACACTTATGCCAGATAGTGTTGGGCCTGTTGCCAACGGGCTCGGCTGCTTGAAGGTGTATTGTTGTACCTACCACTTTTGTTGGTTTCAGGGTTCATATACTTTCTATTTGAAGTATACATACCTGTTAACCATGGACTACTTCTGGCTAGATAAACTCTTGTGTAATCAATGGTGCTAGTGAAGCTTTTATCAGATCCACTCTGATTTAGCCACCCACACTAGTACCAAGTATTACCTTCACTGAGGGCAGGGGTACCTGCAGTTGGATCCCGGGACGGATACCCTGATGCCGTCAATCCTTTTTCTGCACCTTGTCCTCACCCACTTACTGAGGTGTGGTGAGCCCATAAGTGGGATCATTTCAAGTCCACCCTAGTTTGGGGATTTCAGGGGGGGTGTCGGCCGTTGGGTGGTTCAATGGCCAATTGAGTCATCTTTCCAAGATTCCTTTTGAGTCTCTCTCCCCTCTCCCGGGGAGACCCACGTGACCAATTTTGGCAGTGAGCAAGTACAAGTACAAGTGTGTGTGTGTGTGTGTGTGTGTGTGTGTGTGTGTGTGTGTGTGTGTGTGCGTGTGCGTGTGCGTGTATGCGTGCGTGTGTGTCTGTGTATATGCTTAAGACTACCAAGCACACTATAAACCTTGTTCCTAAACTATTCTGAAAGTAGTAACTGCACGGGTGAGGGAAAGTAGGTGACTTATGACTTTGCCGTCTGTGTTTTCTTATGCCTTTTAGAGTATAAGTCCAGAGTGCTAGTGGCGTTGACTGACATGCTGCAATGGTTTGGTAGCCAGCAAATACGCAATGTTGTGGTAAGGAACTATGACTGCAAAAACAAATCCTGAAGCAATCATGCCACTGTATACCATGAGGTTAAAAAAAGAAGAGAAATATCAAAAGTAGTAGTAGGGGGACTTGTAGGCTTTCCATCTGCTCTTGCATTGTCACCCTGCAGCCTGTTTGAGTGATGTACACTGCATGATGTGCTTACTGCTATAGTATACACTCATACCTGCTGAGTCATACCTGCTGAGTCATACCTGCTGAGTCATACCTGCTGAGTCATACCTGCTGAGTCATACCTGCTGAGTCATACCTGCTGTATACACTCATACTGCTATTGTATACACTCATACCTGCTGAGTCATACTGCTGCTGAGTCATACTGCTGCTGAGTCATACTGCTGCTGAGTCATACTGCTGCTGAGTCATACTGCTGCTGTATACACTCATACTGCTGCTGTATACACTCATACTGCTGCTGTATACACTCATACCTACACTCATACTGCTGCTGTATTCATTCTCCATGGTAGACTGTTGGAGGGAATGTGATGGCGGCTAGTCCGGTGTCGGACCTCAATCCTCTGCTTGCGGCTGCGAGAAGTCGCCTGACTTTCGCGTCCAAAGAAGGCAAGTGCATGGGAAGTGGATGAAATTAACTTTGAGCTATGTGCAGTGAACGATGCCATCCATACGTGCCGTCTGTTTTGTCCTGGATGCTTACTTAGGAGTGTGGTGGCGTATACTCGTATCTTCTGGGTTCCATCAGTTCTTCAAACTCGTTTTTGCACTCTTACAAGTATATCCTATTTGTTAATTAAACTCTTCTGAAGTTATGAATCTGATTATGTCGTAACATTACGACTGTGCATTGCAAGCACCGGCTAGCAGCGGCAATGAAATTACCGTGTGCCAGTGGCACATTATGTACACCAGTACACAGTGTGGACTACATCAACGCCAATACCGAGCACACATTCTGGAAACAATGTCTCGTGTGTGTGGTGTCACAGGTGGAGAACGCACCATTGCATTCACCAGTGATTTCTTCACCGGTCCCCCTAATCAGAAAGTAGCGGCGAGGGAGGACGAAGTGCTCTTGTCCATCACTATCACCTTCACTGAAGCGGTATGATTTCGGAGAGTACGTTTTAAAACTAGCTGGGAGTACTGAGGACAGCAGCAAAACTGAACAACATTAGCGCAAGTACAATCCTCTCATTGATAATTCTATCATGTGCATACAGTATTTGTAGCAAAGTGCATGTGTGTGTGGGGGGGGGGGGGGGAGTTTCACAATACATGCTATCAAAGCACTATCATGTATGGAGATTGTAGAGTTATTGTTTTTTTGTTAATTCTGAATTGCATTGCTACCTATGCTCACATCTCTTATCTGTGGTAACATGACTGTCTCTACAGAATGAGTTCCTCTACTGGTTCAAGCAAGCACGACGTCGTGATGGAGACGCAGCCATTGCCAGTGCTGCCATGCGTGTGAAGCTCAGTGACGATGCGAGCGAGGGGAAGAGAACCGTAGAAGATTGTTCGCTGGTGTTTGGCGCCATGGCAGCAAAAACCAAGAGCGCACCGAAGACGGAACAGCTTCTGATAGGGCAGTGAGTGTGGAGTCCCACCCTGAGTGCATGACTGTTGAATACGGTTGGTTACCATGGCGATTTCTACGCGTTCTCATGGCCTCTGTACTGTGATCGAGTACTGCATATCATAGCACCACACATCCCATACCACTAACACCAGGTTGTGCTTGCGTTCGTGCATGTGTGTGTGTGCATGCATGTGCATGCATCTGTGTGTGTGTATGTGTCCAACACTACTGTGCAGGGAGTGGTCGAATGACATACTACCCGCTGTCTCTAAGTCACTCGTGGATGATCTGCCACTAGAGAGTGGTGCGCCGGGTGGAATGATAGAGTACAGACATTGCCTTGTCATCAGCTTCTTCTTCAAGTTTTTCATCTCCGTCACGAACTGCATCGCAACAGTGAGTGCAGCGAGGCATCTACTCTTGTTCGGATGTGCCAGATGTGATGTGAAGAATTTGCTAGTATAGATGCAGTTTTCCCCGGTGATGTGGACTCAGATCTGTTTGGATTTTGACTACAATCGCTGCATGTCTGCTTTGTGTGCGCCAACTCTGATGTACTGTGCAGATAGCAGTGGAAGATGCAAGCGCTGTACCCAAACCAGAGAGGCTGCTAAGCAAAAGTGCACAGATCTATCAGGTAGGCCCGACATCGACCGCACTTTGGCGATCTTAGAGAAGCTCTGCACTCTGAATTTCGGAATTTCATTCCAATGCGGAGAAACAAGGTCTGAAAAAGGAGTCAACAACAGTCTTTGACGTAATTTGAACTTTTCCCAAAGCTAGGTTGGATCATGGATTGCCATAAGAGTTGTACAAAGCACATGCACCATGCCCATTTTGTGCTATCCGCTGCGTTGCGACCATTTCTTGCTGGGCTAAGAGATCAGAACAAGACAGAAACGCATACTAGTACGTATCATCGAGACCCAACCATGTTCAGCTACAATGGGCTTCAGAAAGATCAGCTGACTCCGTGGCGCAACGGTAGCGCGTCTGACTCCAGATCAGAAGGTTGCGTGTTCGAATCACGTCGGGGTCATGCAAACTTTTTCATAATTTTTTTCTTGTTTGAAGCAAGGAGTTTTTCTGGAACAGTTTGAGAAACATTTTTGGAGGCTGCTCAAATCAATATTCTGATCAGGGAGCCGGAGTCGTATTTTACGACTCCCTGATTCTGATGCTGCCGGTTTTGCTATACGAAAAACTAGCATTTCGACGATGCAGGATTGTCACAAAGGAACATTGAAATGGGGCAAGTTTCTTGGATGAACACCCAGTTTAAGTTATCAGAATGCAAAAACCATTCAGGTATTTATTGGCTTGAAGCCCGGGTTTGCTGAATCTGTAACCAAAAAATGCGCCCTGCTTCTAACGTTAAAAAAGACAAAAAGAAGAAAAAGGAATATGACCCCGACGTGATTCGAACACGCAACCTTCTGATCTGGAGTCAGACGCGCTACCGTTGCGCCACGGAGTCAGCTGTTCAAGTGTTAGCCTGCGGGTAATCTTGGTTGAGCAGATTTCGGAAGCACAGGCAATCATGGGCACTACTTTTTTTGTAGGCTGAGGTTACATGAGAGTTGTTCAACCCGCTTTGAAAATCTGTACGGTGGAAAAATAGGTGGGTGTTTATATGAAGAGAGTTGACCCGTGTCATTTACTGACATGTTGCTGACAAAAGGGCCGGGGTGTGGTTATAATGCACTGTTCATCTGCATTCCTATAACTGGTTATGCTTGTGTGTATCTACCCTCGGAAAACATTCATACAGGAAGTGCCATCCGACCAGTCAGCGGACGATACTGTTGGACGTCCCATAGCTCATCTCAGAGCAGAACATCACGCCACTGGCGAAGCAGTCTATATCGATGATATTCCAAGTGTGGAAGGTAAGACACTAAGGGACAGACAGGTCCACATCTTCTGGGTGTACAGGGCCGGCGGAACGGGTCAGGCTGGTCCGGCCATGGCCGCCCACTTTCCCAGCTGGATGGTCCATGTGATTCGTGCAAAACCGGTGTAAAAAAATCCAGAGGTACATGACTCGACTGTACTGCTGACGTGTGATGTGCTTCGAAGTAGCTCAGGACTCCTTGACCGGCACTGTATGGCTGATATGGATAAAAAGGTTGTGTTTTTGTTCTTTTACTATAATTTTCTGCATTTTCTGGAGCCTTAGAGATGCCCAAATTCGCTCTATTTCACGTAAATTTTAAATATTTCTCCCGGGGGAAGTCCCCCGGACCCCCCCCCCCCAAAGGTTGGCCAGACCACTCCCGAACTCCTTCCTCCGGCCCTGGTGTATGTATATGTTTATTGCAGATCAGTTGCGCAGCACAGACTGTGAAGGGTGATGTTACCTCATAGCCTCATATAATCACCATTATTAAGTGCAGCAGGCTCTCTTATGGGCCAATGGCCATCGTGAGAAATAGTAATAAACACTACTACTAATAATAATAATGGGCACACTCTCTGTACAGCCACTCCGGCTGTTTCTGAAACGTCATAGCCGTAACCATGGTAAGAACACACGGCAAATGATCAATTGTACACGCACTTGGAGTCAACAGCAGCAGAGGTAAGCTTACTGACCGGTCATTTCAACATTTGGCAAATTGTTCTTCTTGTGCTTTGCAGGTCAGCTGTACATGGGCCGTGTTACCAGTACAGAAGCGCGTGCTAAGATCAAGTATGTCAGCCACTTACAGTCATATCAAATCCTTGGTACTAGTCTCCGATACACTTAAACCTCAGTATCCTGTACGCCATTTCGTATCTCGGGACTTTGAAGTATCCTACACCTGTATAATGCTGTGATGCATGCACTGCAAAACAAATCTTACTATCCTTTATGCCATTTTATATTGACTTTGAAGTATACGTATACTATATAGAGTCTATGCATGCACTGCAAGTAGGTCACCGGTATACAATCCATGGTCCTTTGAAATCACCGGATAGGTTGCCTGGCATCTTCGGTTTAGACATATCTTCATCGTCATTTAAACACTTCATTGTTTGCAGGTCCGTTGATACCAGTGCTGCGCTGGCGATGCAAGGTGTGAGCCATTACATCTCAGCAGCAGATGTTCCTGGTGCAAATTACATGGGACCTGTGGTCGATGATGAACCTCTCTTTGCTGACGGAAAGGTTAGTTCCTTCTTAGCTTTGCTCTTTGCTCCGTGTGCTACTGTCAGTTGCCTGTATTGTGAATACGACAAGTGAATTGGTCGGGTTTTGTTTGTGTCATGACGGGTTGTTGCTCCGCTTGGGTAAAGTGGTGGCTATTTCTAGGGTATACCGGTAGTCACCATGATTTGGGGTGACACTACAGATGTACATGGTACATGAGCTGCAATACAATGTCATGTTTTCCTTATGGGTCTAATGCAGTCCCTGATGGTCAACAGTCACACTACACCGTGACAACGCATGCCCCGTTGAACCGGAAGAGTTGATGTAGGCGGTGTTCGAAAAGTGTTTACTAGCTTTGCTCTGGACGTAGACCGAGACCGACCTACTGACCTCACACTATAGAGGTTTTACAAATGATGTCATGATGATGAGTCAACGGAACCGCTAATGAGCACTAAGAATACAGCTCGAGTCGGCGGTTTGACTTGAGCTAGTGCATTGCTGTGCTGCTGCTTTGCCAAAGCATCTCAACTGATGATGCAATCGCATAACACTTCTATTGTCTTCATCCTCTGTGTAGGTGTTTGTCATTGGCCAGACTGTCGGTGTTGTGCTGGCTGAAACACGTGAACTTGCACAGCGAGCTGCTCATGCTGTCCGTGTTGAGTACGAAGACCGAGAGACTCCTATTATTACCATGGAGGTCAGTGAGGGTACACTGTGGCATGTGTTTTTGTGTTTGTGTGTGTGTGTGTGTGTTTTTCTCTTTCTCGGACTCTTCCTGACTTTTCTTTCATTCTCCTGGGTGGTTACCAACAGCCAGTGTATGCCGGAGTATGTGGTGTGGTGTGTGTGTAGGAAAAAATGGAAAAATGAAAAATAGGGATTCACTGGCCAGAAAAAGTCACTTCAAACAGCTGTGTGGTGGATACCAGGCTAAAAATAGTGGCCGTCAATTCATCAGCCTTGCAAGCTGTTGAATGGTGTAATCCCAGCACAAGTTGCTAGGTCTAACATAGCTGTTCGCTATCATCGCTTCCTCGATGGGCATGTCTGAGGTCTGAGGTGTGTGTGTGTGTGTGTGTGTGTGTGTGTGTGTGTGTGTGTGTGTGTGTGTGTGTGTGTGTCCCATATGGTGCAGTGGTATGTGCAGCGATTTCCAATCGATAGATTGCGGGTTTGATTCCCGACGATTATGGTCACACACGTCTTTCTTCTCTTTCTCAGACTCTTCCTGACTTTTCTTTCATTCTCCTGGGTGGTTACCAACAGCCAGTGCATGCCGGAGTATGTGGTGTGATGTGTGTGCGGGAAAAAAAAAAGAAAAAAAATGAAAAAGACCAAAAAGGGATTCACTGGCCAGAAAATGTCACTCCAAATAGCTGTATGGTGTAGACCAGGCTGAATAGTGACGGTCAATTCTTCAGCCTTGCAAGCTGTTGAATGGTGTAATCCCAGCACAAGTTGCTATGGCTTCTGCCGTAGCATTGCTATCATCGCCTCCGGCGATGGGCGTCAAAGGTCAAAGGTGTGTGTGTGTGTGTGTGTGTGTGTGTGTGTGTGTGTGTGTGTGTGTGTGTGTGTGTGTGTGTGTGTGTGTGTGTGTGTGTGTGTGTGTGTGTGTGTGTGACATGGTTGCCCGTTGACGGCTGCAGTGGCTTGGCCACATTGCCAGGATGGACGACCACCGGCTTCCAAAGACAGTGTTGTTCTCGTGGCTCCATACTCCACGCCCTGCTCATGGCCCCAGGCGTCGATGGCGTGATGTGGTACGCGATGACCTCAAGGCGTTGGGTCTATACACCGGTTGGTACGACCTCGCAGCTGAACGTGGCGAGTGGATCCAGTCCATCTCGGATGCTATTGTTGCACGGCGCTTACGCCTTGAAACGACAGCCAAGTCAGTGTGTTGTGCGATCTGTGAGCGACTCTTCGCCAGTGAAAGCGGACTTCGGCGGCACAAATGCAGGGAAGAGCGACTGAAGCCGATCCATGAACAGGCCGGTGCTGTGTTGTGCGAAACGTGCCATCGTTGGTTTGCTAGCCGAGGTGGATTCGCTGTGCACAGCTGCTCTCCCAGTCTTGGTGACGCTCCAGTTCCAGAGATTGTTGCACCTCGCCCACCTGATTGCAGCCAATGTCATTACCACTGCCACACCTGTGACCGCTGTTTCCGGAGCAAAGCTGGGCACCGCCGGCACAACTGCAACTCCAACCGCAGAACATGCAGCTCTGGCTCTGAGCGCCGCACCATCCCATGCCCGACCTGCTCTCGGAAGTTCACACGTCTCCAGTACCTGGCTCAACACAAATGCAAGAAGTAACTCTGCCCTCCTTGCCTCTTTGAGGCACTGCATCACCTTTAGGTGGCAGTTTCAAGGTTCAAGGTGTGTGTGTGTGTGTGTGTGTGTGTGTGTGTGTGCGTGCTCATTGCACATAGTGTAACCATTGTAATGCTGCTCGTCTGCAGCTGTTACATGGTATTGTGTAGCACTATGCTCTACGTTTCCTGTACTACAGTGCTGACAACTGAAGTCCGACCCCTTAGCGGTGCGTCCACATTCTAGCGGTCTCTGTTTCGTAGTTCTTCCATCCCGTGTTGGGTCTTTGCGATGTGAGCGCGCCGCTCCGGGGTCGGATTTCAGTTGCCAGCACTGTAGTAGCATACATACAGTCAGGGTGTAGCCAGGTGAACTTGTACTACGCTAACCCAGTGTGACCGTGACTGAGCTGATGACATGTTTTCTGTTTCCATATTTGTTTGCAGCAAGCTATAGATGCCGAATCTTTCTATGGCGTACCGCGCGAGGTCAAGAAAGGAGACACCGACGCTGCGTTTTCTGATTCCGCTACCATTATTAAAGAGGGCGAGATGCGAGTGGGAGGACAGGTGAGCCAGTAGCCAGTAGGGCAGCAAATGCTCCCCGGGGATGATAATGCATGCACTATATGCCGGTGACGGTATGCTAACACATCTGACTGTCTTCCTCTCCTCAACTAGTTCCTGGGCATTACATTTTTTAAGTGAGGTAGCCAGAGCTGTAACAATGCAACAACTGGACTTGCAATGCATTTATTGTTCTTAGGCCAGCACCTCAGGCCTAGTCGATAATGTTGTGCTCAGTTGAACGTTGCCCAAGATGATTGTTCATAGCGCAGCTGTTGAGTGTTGACTGGCTTGCAGCTGGGTCACTGATCTCTGCTTGTCGACTTTGCTCCTCTGCGACCCTTTCAGGAGCATTTCTATCTGGAGACTCAGGCCAGTCTAGCTGTACCCGGAGAGGAAGATGAGATGACCCTGTACACTTCAACACAGCATCCAGCCTCGTCGCAGGTAAACACACACTACCCAAAACAAGTGTTGGTTGTTACAGGTTTTAAAACAGTAATTTGTTGAACGGGATTGGCTGTAAAATAGAAGAGAACACATGGGAACGCGGTATGAAGCAACTGTCACCGGGCCCTGCAACCCTTTTTTTGCCATTTCCAAAATTGTCTTGCCATGCAACATGCAACGTACGGGGGCGAACCCTCGACTTAACCCCAGGCAAATGTGCATTTATGAACCCTCTCACAGTGACTATCGACTGCATTTTCGTTGAATGGCTTGGAAAAACACAAATATCGACCAATGAGTAGGGGGGCGGGGGGCTCCATGAGAGTAGGGTGACCCCCTTGGGTAGAATACTGAAGAATGATGGACGAAGAACTCTGAATGCGACATCAGCATATGGATAATACAAGAGCAGAAAGTTACATAACAAGGTGAGACTCAGCCACAACAACAGAACTGTCCACAACAAGTTGGACTGGGAAGCCATGACCAGACCAAGCACTTCGAATACAAGGAATGCTGGATCTCAGTAAAGAGAATGAGAGACGGGTACGCAATAGACTCATCACAACAGAGTATTCGCTACGAAGACTCACATTGTAAGGGACAAAGACGTTTCAAAAGACAGTGCACAATTGACCCCTTCGTGATAAACTAAACCCATGCCTCCTAACGGGTAAAACGACTAGCCACGATGAGGCACCCTTCTCCGATAACTCGAGAATACGCCTCCTCTCGCGATCCTCCAGCCCGTTAACAACCACCTGCACCGCGACCACAGCTTCACGTCTCTTCAGTGCGTGCGGCTTGACCTTCCGCTGCCGCACCGCTCTTCCAGTCAACGCCACAGGCTACGCTAAAAGAGGAGTGGAGGCAGCATGGCCGCTCTTGGACACTCCATGCCCGCGGTAAGAAGAGGCTGCAGGTCAAGAGGGTACATGCACTGACTCCAGGTAGCCACCTACAACACCCTGCACCAGAGGCTTGGAAATATGCTATGATTGCCGCCGCTGTTGCATGGAAATGGACACCAAATCCAGGATAGCCATCCTGCCGTACCGAATCGGGATTCTCAATACTTTCAAATCACTGGCAGACAATGCAGGTTGCCCCACAACCACCGGCAAAAAACCCCAAGAGAGGTCAACTCCCACGGGAACAAGTACCTCCTCATCCAGCTCCATTGCATGAAGCAAGTACGTCCACTTGTGTCGTAAGCCGTGCATCATTGCAGCATAAGCCGCATGGGGCTCCACCACCACAAATTCTGTTAGAACCTTCACCTCCCGAATCCACCCATCCGTTCGCTATCTCGCAAAATCAGTACAGAACGCCGAGGTACCCAGCCCAGCACCAACATAACGTACACCATCGGTCCTTACAAAAATTACGGTGTCACCAAAGTGTCACCAAAGTGCTCACTGGTGGCCACCTCAAGACCAGACTTTTACAAGCAACTGAGTCTTACTGTCATTGACGGAGTAACCACGATCCTTACCATGAATTTTCAAATGATCATACCAAACGCGGGGCAGACCAAACTTCCTCGCTGCTGCAGAATCATCGGCATACCATCCCTGGCAGACTCTATCCACAGAGGTGCGCAATGATTTGACCAAAGTCGTCAATGTTTTTTTGTTTGGCACCTATGATCAGGGGATGGCCCACGCCTGGTAAAAAAGTAAATAATTAAAAAAAATTAAAAATAAGAGAAAGTCGTCAATGTACTGTACCAGTGTTTTCACCTTGGATATACGGTTATACCTCGGCTCTAGACTAGTATGACGTACAGATAGTTATATCCGGGGTGGGTACATTCTATGGATGATTCACTGTACTCAGTGACATCATTAGACTAATTTCTGTACTGGCTGCATGCTGGGCATGTGCTGATGTTCGAAACCCAGTGTGAAAAACTGAGTGCATGTAGTTCATCTTGGTTTTTACGGTTCCTTCTGACTGTCCAGAGAATGGCTGCCAAGGCCCTCGGTGTCCCGCAGAACCGAGTCACATGTCATGTCAAACGCGTTGGTAAGGAATACATGTTCCTTGGGCAAGGTAATATTCCAACATGCCTTTGGATGGGAATTCATTTTCCCTGGACTGTCTTAGAACGTCCCATTCCAAGAGGTCATAGTAATCACGCAAACCAAACACGGTTTAAGACCTTGATTGTTGCACCATCACTCAAAGGTTCTGGTACAGTTTACTTAATTGAACACTTTCAGTGGCTGCCTAGCCTCTCACACCATGCCAAGCCTCTCACACCATGCCAAGCCTCTCACACCATGCCTAGCCTCTCACACCATGCCTAGCCTCTCACACCATGCCTAGCCTCTCACACCATGCCAAGCCTCTCACACCATGCCAAGCCTCTCACACCATGCCTAGCCTCTCACACCATGCCAAGCCTCTCACACCATGCCAAGGATAACCACCACACATGTCCTCAGTAGACTGTGCTGTATTCTCTGTTCACATGTGTATATACCTCTGCAAGGTGGTGCGTTTGGTGGCAAGCAAAGCCATAGCGGCATACTCTCCAGCATGGCGGTGGTTGCGGCCAAAGTGTGAGTACCCGTTCTAGCAGGCTGTGCTTACACGTACATGCAGATTATGAAATGCATGTACCAGTGTTACTCCTGCATGCATTTGTGTACTTTTCTCTACAGCATGGTGTCGATCCGAGGCTATCAAGCACTCATACTTGTTTGTGGAGAGACCTGCAATCGTGGAGCTACCACACTGAATGCCATACTGTACTTGCACTGGGTCTATCAAGTACCCTATGTGCACACCTCAACCACTATCAAAGTCGTATCTATTGACCATGGTGTGCATGTACGTGTATGCTTAATGTTGTTCAGATCTGGAAGACCTGTCCGCTTCATGCTGGATCGTGATGAAGACATGGCTAGCACGGGGCAGAGGCACCCGATCTTGGCCAAGTACAAAGTAAGTCATGCAACGAAGAGCCCTTGTTATGAACATACATGACGATGTGCTTTGCCAACCCCAAGGTTAGACTATGAGTGTGCAGTTTCCAGCTGCTGTGGCCTCTATGTACTCCCAACCAACAGTATATTTCACATTAAGGTATCCTCTCAGCGGATAGCACACATACCTGTAATGTACTCCATTGTGCATTGTGACTCTGTGCTGTGAGAATGCATCTCCAGGCGGAGCACCATTGCTTCTGCCGCCGCTTTTCCATTGAGCCTGGTGTATCCTTTCTCCACCCTTGCAGATTGGATTCACAAAGAATGGGAAGTTGACTGCCTTGGACATCAAGTTCTATGTGAATGGCGGATGGACTATGAGTCTCTCTACAGCGGTATGTTGCATCACGGGCTACGTTCGATAGTGCCACACTCGCATGCGTGTGAACACACACACACAGATGCATATACACACATGTGCACGTGCACAGACACACACACACACACACACGCACACACATAAAGGGACAGGGAGAGCGAGTACATGGAATGCCCACTATTTCTCCCTCCAGCACCGAATCCTTTTCCGCATATTCAATATCCACTATTCATCTCGGCTGAGACCTCCAGTTTGGGCAAAGTATGCCATTCACAAAATGTTCCTAACTCCTCCAACATGCACAGGCAGTCATCGGACCTGCACTCAATAGGACAGGAAGTATACTACCTGAAGCGCCATCTTGAAACCGTTGGCAAAAACGACTACACCTACTATCGAGCTTTGAGTTTTCGAGCGAGCACCCCGTTCGTCGTATTTCACCCCTAGTCAGGAGTCATTTGGCACTAGAACATGCCAGTATCACTGGTCATAATGCTTTGTTTTTTGTCTCTTGTCCTGTTGAACAGTTTGTTTGGAAATCTGCCAGCAGTATTGACCACTGCTACCACTGGCCAAACCTGACCATTCATGGCCGGGCGTGTCGCACCAACCTACCGTCGAACACTGCCTTCCGTGGATTTGGGGAGGTGGAGGTGAGATGATCCGGACACACCTCACTTGTAACTTTACTCCTAAGTACAATAAGTATGTATGTAGCTGGGGCTGAGCAGCATAGTTCCTTGCAGCTGCAACACAATGTGGTCAGTATAACCTCGAGTACGCAGTCTTTTGTATAATGTTAGACGGTCAATGTACGAGAAGATGCAAGTATTAATTGCAGGAGCGACAAACACGAGCATCTCAACAAACGATTCATTGTCTGTGCTTTTTCTAGATTGCCATGCTAACTGAATCCATCATGACAGACGTGGCAGGCTGGTGTTCTCTACCCGTAGAGGAGGTGAGATGAAGTACACTAGTAGTTGCTCATTGCACGGTGTTCAATGGGAGGTCCGATGTGCCCCCCCCCCCATATATATATAAGCATGCTAGAACTTAATGATGGGCCTATGTCCATGATTAACATGCCTTCAACTGCGCTGAATACTTACTTCAGAAGTCGTCTTCATATAAGGAGGCAGATATGCCTGTTTGTTGTACGACTTTAAATATATCCAACCAACCAACTTCTTGTACAATTCTATTCAATGAAGTCTGATTGCGTTAGCCTCCGCTAGTCCACACCCCAGTGTTCGCAGGTCTGGGGCAGGCAGTGTGGCACCCGGCGGGCATTCACTGGCTTGATCGGATTTCATTGAGCAGAACTGTACTTTGTTATGCTTAGATACAGGCGTCCTATGCCTGGTCAGTCTTGACTGGATGGCCTCCATGTGGCCAGCTTCAACTCCGTTTTCACTCACAAAGGTTTACCTCTTTTTGTCTTGTCCATGCCAGGTACGCGAGAAGAACATGTACCAAACTGGTGACAAGACGTTCTACCTGCAGAAACTGGAGAATGTCACCTTGCTGCGCTGCTGGAAGGAAGTCATTGACCGTGCTAACCTAGACAAACTCAAGGCAGATGCTGTACAGTTCAACAAGTAAGACTTACTATTGATACCAGGAATATTGCTTTGGGAGTAGTGGTGGTGGGGTACTCTTTCTTGCTACTTTTGGCAATGATAATCATTCAGTGTGATTTCAGCGTAATACCGAAACAAGAATTGCCTATGTTTGTAATGCCGAAACAAGAATTGTTACGCCTTCCAACGGCCGTAAGAGAGTTGGAAAGCACGCCACTGCCAGCCACTGGCTATGCAACTCTGTTGTTGTGTGTTGTGTTGTACGACGGGCACAGCACAAAGACGCCTATGTTTGTCTGTACTGCACATTTTTCACCAAAAAAAAACACTTTCATGTACTCTGCTAGCAGTGTCCACACAGAGGTTCAATCGAATCTCATGCAATGCCTCCTTCACCTAACATACATCTGAAGGTGAGTGCATGATGACAACTGCAAGGTAGTAGCTTTTATCTGTAACATTGAGATCTTTCGGTTCCTCCTTGATTGCTCCAGGGCCAATCGCTGGAAGAAACGAGGGGTCGCTGTGGTACCGACCAAGTACGGAGTTGGATTTGTCCCTGTGCCGGAGAGCAGTCAGGTAATACATGCCGTCAAGATACAATCATGCACATGAGTGTGTTGTGGTGTGGTGTGGTGATCTGGATTGGCGGCTATCCAGGTACTGCATGCCGTCAAGATACAATCATGCACATGAGTGTGTTTTGGTGTGGTGTGGTGATCTGGATTGGCGGCTATCCAGGTACTGCATGCAATCAAGATACAACCATGCACATGTATGTGTCGTTGTTGTGTGGTGATCTGGAGTGGCAGCTATCAATGTGTGCTGTGACGTGGTGTGGACGAGCAGCTATCCATGTATACCTGGGTCAGTTTGAATAGTGCATCATTTACTTCAAGCAGACATTCCGATGATGGATACTCAACTTGTTGCTAGTGCATCCGATCGACACTGATTCCTTCTCTTTCCCAAGTACCCGTGCGTGGACTTGTCCCAGTGCAGCAAGTTAGTGATCAGACATGTAACTGACAGTGCATCTTGGTGACATGAACTGGGGTTGTTGCAGGGCGCTGCATTCATTGTGGTGTACGTGGATGGTTCTGTACTACTAACTCATGGTGGTGTGGAGATGGGTCAAGGACTGCACACCAAGATGATACAGATCTGCAGTAGAGTGCTGGCTATTCCCACGTCCAAGATCTTCCTCAGTGAGACAAGCACTAATACTGTACCGAATACGACACCCACTGCAGCGTCGGCGTCCACGGACTTGAATGGCTATGCCGTCAAGGTAAGCAACTACCGGGCTACTAGCATGCTGACTAATTTGTGATGGTATGACTGTCTGATTAGGGAGTAATGCTACTTTGTGATGGCGATGTGGAGGTAGGTAATGACTCTTTAAGAGGAGATACGGTGCTCAGTGACTGTAGTGTCTGGCAGTAGTCTTTGTGATCCACTCTCACAACAATAACACACAGAAATCTCTGCTGAAAGCGCGGTGGCTCGGCAATGGCGAAGTTGGAAAGCGTACCGTTACATTGTACATGGGCACGGGAACTACCTCTGAAGCTTAGCAACGGTGTCAGTTTGGCAGGTGTTGCTGTCCCCTGACAAGGAATTTCGATTTGTAAGGCTGTTGTCTGTATTGTCAAGTTGAATTTAAAGGCCCTGTATATCACTCTAGATCTGACACAGGACAATGTCGTAGGAGAGAGCTATTCAGCAATTCAGAATTACTGTGCTCCCTAACCCTGCAGGATGCAGCTGAGAAGATCCGTGACCGACTGGAGCCGTACAGGACCAAAAACCCTGACGGATCGTGGGATGATTGGGTAAGTGGCATCCCGCATGATGATGGGACAGAGATGCTGTTGCTCATGGTACAAGGGTACGACCATCAACATGTCGGGTTATGCAGTCATGCTGTTCTGTTTCGATGGAACACTTGCATTTGCTGCGGATTGTCATTGTTCAATAGTTTGAGGGTACGAAGAGGAATAGTCTGAAGAAAATTACTGTCATCATCAGGACTCATTGAGTCAAACCAGGGACCTTTGCTAAAGGCCAGCGATTGTCATCGTATTACCACATCACGTTCAATTTTGACTACTTGTATATTTTCATCTTTACTTGTCTGTGCAGGTACAAAGTGCCTTTCAGGACAAAGTTTCTCTCTCAGCCACAGGCATGTATGGGTAAGTGGAGACCATGCTACATATCCGGTCGAAATGAACTTGAAGAGAACCGGTGGCCGGCTTGCTTCATACAAAACAGTACGTTTGAAAGCAACCAATAACTGTGGCATGACATGGTTGCGTATCGGAGCGTCAGCTTCGATATAACAGTGTGTATTGCCTATGACGTCAGTCATTTCCTTCAACCCAGACCGGTCTTCAAAGTGCAAAAAATAAAATCCAGGCCCAACCCAGGATCGTCGCCTTTTTTATTTCCGCTCAACCCTAGATAGGTTTGCTTTTCAGCGTTTTGTTTGTCAGGTTTTACAGTAGTTACCGTTTACCGTAGTATTTACTATAGCGATGGAGGACAGTACTGCGCTCGTTTCTGCCGTTTCCTCGGCCGTGCAGGGTTTGTTGGGCCCGCTGGAGGATCGGCTCAGCGCCCTTGAGGCTTCATTGCAGAGTCGCCGAACTGGTCCAGCGGACAGTTCGGCACCGACTCCGGGCACTTCAGCCAGCATGTCTGGTGAAGCTGACCCTACAGACTCTTCGAGTGGGCAGGTCCCATCGAACGAGGTTGTGGACGAGCCGAAGCATGCTTCGGTGACTCCCGAGATTGCAGAATTCCTGGAGAAGGAATTTAGAGTTGGTCTGAAGACCAAGGACCGGAAGGAGATCCTGGACAGGTTTCCCCGGCCAAACACCGAGGTAGCTGTGACCCCGAAAATGGATTCGGAGCTGTTGGAGTTCCCTGGGCTGGCGTCCTCGTACAAAAAAGGCGTGGACACCAACTTGTTCTCAGTCCAGAGTAGCGTTTTGGACTGCCTGGGCCCGCTAACCGAACTGTGGATGGAGGCGCAGCGGGCCCTCGATGCTGATTCGGGTCTTGACCCGCAAGCTGTGCTGGAGCTGATACCAGTTGCACTGCGCCTTTTGGGCAACGCACACCATAAGCTGTCCTCGCAGCGCCGGCATGCTTTTCTGGAGCACCTGGATAAGGGTTTGACTGGCATGGCGGATGCCCCTTATTTGCAGGCTGGCACAGCTCTATTTGGGCCAGAGTTTTTGGCCCAAATGCAGGGCAAGGCTGACTCCCAGAAAGCTCTGGCTGATGTGTTGCGTCGCTACCGTGATGCCCGTGGCGGCACTAAGCCTCGCTCCCACTCAGCTAGTACCTCAGCCGCAACGGGTGGTGGTCAGTTTTTTCGGCGTTCCGGGACTGGCAAGTACGGCGGCAGCTCCCGGTATCAGCCCTACCGCAGCCCGTACACCAACACCCCCGCAGGCCGCAGTCCGTATCGCGGCGGCAGCTCTCACTCCTCTCCGATGTCCCGAGGCGGAGCCTCCAGCCAGTCCAGCTCCCACCGGAAGGGCAGTCGGTCCTAGAGACCTTCCTCCCGTCAGCTCTACGGGAAGTGGTGCCCGACGAGATCCTCCGCGCCGGGTCTTCATTGCCCTCCTGGCGGATGCCATTCGTGATATCGGCAGAGGAGATGGCCATCCCACACGGGGGTCGGCTTCGCCATTTTTACGAACGGTGGACGCTGCTGTCGTCCGATCCATGGGTCCTACAGTCAGTTCGTGGGGTCCACCTCGACCTCCTGAGTGTTCCAGTTCAGTCTACATGGCCTCATCCACGCCCATTGACAGCGGCGGAGACTGCGGCTGTGTCAGAGGAAGTCAGTTCCTTGGTGCAGAAGGAGGCGATTTACGCCCTCCCCAGCAACACTCCACCCGGTTGGGTCAGCTCCATCTTCGTGGTTCCGAAGGCTGGTGGGAAGCTGCGCCCGGTGGTCGACTTGCGGGCCCTGAACGGATATGTCCCGTATCATCATTTCAAGATGGAGGGCATCGGCACCCTCCGGGACTTGCTCCAGCCTGGGGACTTCCTCACCCGGCTGGATCTGAAGGATGCGTACCTCACAGTGGCGATGAGGGCCAGCGATCGTCGTTTCCTTCGTTTCAGCTGGCAGGGAGTTCTGTACGAGTTCCGGTCACTCCCATTCGGCCTGTCGTCAGCCCCCTGGACATTCACCAAACTCCTCCATCCGGTGGTGGCGACACTTCGCCAATTCGGAATCCGAGTGATCATCTATTTGGACGATCTGCTCATCCTGGCGCATTCGTTGCTGGCCGCTCGGGAAGCTACGGCGTCGGTTGTGCACCTGCTCTGCAGCCTCGGCTTTGTAATCAACTTCAGCAAGTCGTGCCTGGTCCCTTCTCAGGAGACCACGTTTCTGGGTTTCCTGGTGTGTTCGACGACCATGACAATCCAGATCTCACAGGATCGCCGGGACAAGCTTCTGCGGACCTGCCGCCAGCTACTTCAGGCGGATCGCACAACTGTCCGCGAGGTTGCCAGCGTGGTGGGCATGATGCAGTCAGCGTGGCCGGGAGTGTTGCCAGCACCTCTCCATCTCCGGGGCTTGCAAGACTTGAAGAATTCCGCTCGCCACGCAGCATTGGCATGGGAGTCTGCTCTGATTCTGGACTCTGCGTCCAAGGAGGATCTCCGCTGGTGGGTTCGTTTTCTGGACTCTTGGAACGGTCGTCCCGTGAAGGTCGAGTGTCCAGTGCTGACGATTGCCTCGGATGCCTCGTCCCAAGGGGGCGGCGGAGGTTGGGGCGCAGTCTGCGGGACGCAGACAACGGGTGGTCGTTGGTCTGCCGCGGAATCTCGGCTCCACATCAATGCTCTGGAGCTCCTGGCCGGGACATTTGCTGTCCAGTGCTTTGCCCGTCATGTCCAGAAGGGTCTTGTGTTGCTTCAGATGGACAATCAGTGTGCTGTCGCGTACGTGAACCGCATGGGCGGCACTCGGAGCCAGCGGTTGAATTCGCTAGCCGCGGAACTGTGGCACTGGTGCCTGGCCCGCCAAATCACCATTCGTGCCGAGTACATTCCCGGGGCCCTCAATGTCATAGCCGATTTCTGGTCTCGCAATCACAGTTCCTCAGAGTGGCATCTGCTTCCTCAGGCGTTTGCCTTGCTGAAGACCCGATATGGAGGTTGCCACGTGGATCTCTTTGCCACTCGGATCAACACGCAGCTACCGGACTTTGTTTCGTGGCATCCGGACCCACAGGCGGTGGCGACGGATGCGTTCTCTCAGCCGTGGCAGGAGATGGACGGGTATGCGTTTCCTCCCTTCTGCCTGATCGGCAAGGTCCTACGGCAGGTTCAGACTCAAGCTGTCCCTCGGTTGCTCCTGGTCACCCCATTGTGGCGCGGGGCCTCGTGGTTCCCAATGCTGCTCCAGATGGTGTCGGAGGCGCCGACGTTGCTACCACACGACAGGTCCCTGTTGACGGATCCTCTCGGCAATCCTCACCCATTGATGGCCAATGCCCGCCTCCGCTTGGTCGCGTGGCCCATCTCCGGCATTCCTACTCTATGTCAGGGTTTTCTGCAGCAGTGTCCGACCTCCTCGTTGCCTCCTGGCGGACCAACACCTCCCGTCACTATGACAGCGCTTGGGCACTGTGGAGTCGCTGGTGTGCGCAGCGGTCGATCGATCCGCTTCGCCCCGCACTGACTCGTGTTCTCGAGTTCTTGTCCGACCAGTTCCAGGACGGTCGCGCGTTCCGCACTATTTCTGGCTACCGGTCCGCTCTCTCTACTATGCTCCCTCCCGTCGACGGCACATCAGTTGGCTCTCACCCTACTGTGGTTCGGCTGCTCCGTGGTGCGTACAATCTCCGCCCGCCTGCGCCTCGCTACACCTTCACATGGGATGTTCAGCTGGTGTTGGATTTCTTGCGGTCATGGCCAGATGTGTCCGTTCTCAGTGACAAGCAGCTTACTCTGCGCCTTGCTATGCTCCTGGCGCTTTCTGGTGCATATCGTTGTGGCGAGCTTTGTCTGCTCTCAAGTGTCTTTTCCCAGCTCTCCGATGGCTCTGTCCGGCTCCCGCTCCTTGGTACTCGGAAGACCCAGCGTGTTGGTGAGCCTCTGCAGACGGTCCAGGTGTGCCCGTTCTCTGTTGCTGCCCTGTGTCCTGTTCAGCATCTGCTTGAGTATGGCCGTCGATCTGCCGTGTGGCGGCTAGATGGCTCTGGTCCTTTGCTGCTCTCGTTTCGTAAGCCGCATAAGCCTGTCTCTTCTCCCACCGTTGCCCGTTGGTTGAAGGAGGTGCTTGGTCTCGCTGGCATTGATACTGCTCAGTTCTCGGCTCATTCTTCCCGTGGCGCGGCCACATCTGCTGCTGCCCGTGCCGGTGTCTCTACTGCTGTTATCTTGGCAGCTGCTGATTGGAAGCGTGCTACTACATTTCGCCGCTTCTACTGCCGTGATGTCACCCCGCCGGCTGACTGCTTTAGTGCTGCGGTTCTGCGCTCTGCTACCGCTTAAGTGTGTCCTGCGGCTTTGCACCTGGCGCTGCCCATGCTGGCATGGCTTTTTCTTTCGTTGTGTGCGTCTCTGACCTCTGCATTGTGTGATCAGGTCTGTTGACTACATGCTTTGTTGACACGTCTTGTTCTTTATTTATACTTCGGCGTGCTTTCGGTGCGCCTTTCAGTTTCGCCTTCCTTCTCGTTGGACTTGGCCTATTTCCATACTTGGCATGGTTTCTTTTGCATCTCCCGTCCCTACCGGGTTTGCTATTATCCACTTTATGTCCTCGGTTTAGTGTTTGGGCTATGGCTTGCTATTTGCTTTCATATATCATGGCTCTGATAATATTGTCCCGCTTCACTCCGGTGTGGCGCATGGTCACCTTTGCTCCTCATTGGTGGTCTGGATTTATAGTGCTGGGGTTTGTTCAGCGCTTTTAACAATACACTGTTATATCGAAGCTGACGCTCCGATACGCAATTGCCCATTTCGCTAGCAATGGTACATTGCGACGGGAAGTGGGAGTTGTGTGAGGAGCGGAAGCGAGATATAACAGTGTCCCACCCGGCCCTTCCCTTTCTCTTGTCATAAATTAATGATCATAGGGTTTCGCTTCAATAACAGGCGACGATCCTGGGTTGGGCCTGGATTTTATTTTTTGCACTTTGAAGACCGGTCTGGGTTGAAGGAAATGACTGACGTCATAGGCAATACACACTGTTATATCTCGCTTCCGCTCCTCACACAACTCCCACTTCCCGTCGCAATGTACCATTGCTAGCGAAATGGGCAATTGTTACCAGCATGTTGCCCTTCCAGTGACCCCAGTTCTGTGCGTACCAACACTATGATCAACTGTGTTTGTTTCCCATTTTCTCTCATGGTTCATTCACACGCCATTGCTCATGCTACAGTCCTGGATTGTTGTGTTCTCTTACAGTGCGCCAACTCCTATGCTGGAAAGCGGTCGCATCGGCTTCCAGTACTTCACCTATGGGGCAGCATGCTCGCACGTAGAAATTGACACATTGACAGGTGACTGGCAGGTAAGGGTGTATTGACTACGGTAATCCTCTACTTTCCTGCAGGGGTGCCATTGGGTAGGTTGCAAGTTCCGGTTGCATGGGGGGGGGGGGGGTCAATCATTTGGGTAGACTGTATAGTTGCGGGTGACCAAAGTGATCGGAGGAGTTCCTTTGAGACTAATTTTCTCCATGGCACATTGCTGTCAGGAACATTCAATATGTACAGTATAGACTATACATTATGTATAGACTAGGTGCACAATGATGAAGTGCGTACAAAACGTGTAGGACGAAATGGATGTAGCAATGTGTGTAGATCTACACACCACCTACAGTTTAAACTACGGCAAACGTCTCCTGAAAACACTTACTAGTCGTCCGTCTAGAAAATGTGTATGGATAACATCACTAGAACATTGTGTGCATGCTCTGATCATGATTGCATGTTGAGGAATGAAGCGTCATGTTCATACAATCCAGCAGAACTATTTTAGTTACAGCTGAGCAAAATAACATGACTTTGAATCTTCTTCTTCATCCTGCTCTCTCCCCGTCTCCCTTTCTTTCATCACCTCGTTCTCTCCCCTATCTTTCTCCGTCTGTTGCTGTTGCTCGTGCTGTTATCACTGTCTAAGGTTTTGAAGACCGATATTGTGATGGATGTTGGAAATAGCTTGAACCCAGCAATCGACATTGGACAAGTAAGTCATGTTCTCGTTTCTTTCTCTGTGGTACATGTATTAAAGAATTTAAAGAATGTGTTTTTCAACTATGTTTGTCAGTAACTTCACTTTGCTATTGGGGCAAGTGAGGTAAGGTAGTGACAGGCTTGCTGTCCTCTTGTGTTTGCAACAGATCGAAGGTGCCTTTGTCCAAGGTATGGGCTATTTCACCATGGAGGAAACTCTTGTGTCACCAAGCGGATATGCGCTGAGTCGTGGGCCAGGCACGTACAAGATTCCTTGCTGTGGTGACATTCCCAAGGAATTCAATGTAGCCCTGCTGCGCAGTGCTCCCTGTGACAAGGGCATTTGCTCATCCAAGGTAAGAACACATGTGTCAACACAATACTGTACAGTACGGTATTAGTCTTACAAGTACTTAGATAGCTTTTGAGAGATAACTACGGTGGCTCCGTTATCATCCCAAGGTCTTTTCTTTTCATTGCACTCCCTCTGTGGTGTGTACGAGATTCTTCTTCTGCCGTCTTATCTACACAAGACTACAAACGAGCTTGACATCATTACAGTTGGTAATTGTCCAGTGCAATGCACGAGGGTTGACACATGCATCAAAGAATACCAGAGAAGTGGAAGCTAGGCACAGATACCTCATGTAATAGTGGGAGTGGGTCATGGTGATGCTGCTTTGCTCGACTATCCAAAAAATGACCCATCAACAAAGGGTTCAGCCACAAATGTACCAAGTACAACTGTAGATGCTGGATACACAACAGTATCAATTCCTTCTCTTGTAACTTCTACGGCTTCATGTATTTCTTCGGTGTGCCCGTTGCATGACTCTGTGACTGCAGTCTGTTGGCGAGCCGCCGTTGTTTCTTGCATCGTCTGTATTCTACGCTATCAAAGATGCCATCACTGCAGCAAGGTATGGCACAAGGGCTGATTATGGTTCTATTGATTAGCTTGCAGAAATTTCAGCAGCGAGTAGATTTGACGTAATGTAACCACTGTGCGTGCTCAAGTCTGTGCTATACTATTTTTGCCAGCTAAATGGCCACTTGAAGAGTGGTTTTATTGATCCCCAAAATTGTTTTGTCAGTCTCTACACTCGGTGACTAGAGTGAGAATATTATCCGTTGCGCCACCGATAGGAAGTGATGTGCCAGATTCCTTGTTTTCAACGACGTCGGTAGACGGAGGCTCTTTGAGGCTGCATCCCATTGAAAAGTGCCAAGTGTATACACAGATGAACCGTTGCTGGAGAGATCTACTGCAATGCGAGACTGGATCACTGCGTCTACTCTTGCACAGGTCTGATGCTGGTGTGACGGGTGTGTTCCGACTGGACAGCCCTGCCACCGTTGAACGTATACGCATGGCATGTGCTGATCACGTTGCACGTACACAGGTCAGTGATGATGCCACATTGTACATTGCACACACTGTAGGAGTGCTACACTGGTAGTGCAATTGCCAGAACTCATAGAACACGAGCATGCAGTTTGAGGTGAAGTAGAGAATTGGAAAAGAATTGTACACACCGGTATTTCTCCCACGCTTTTTTGTTGGCGGTCGCTGGAGTGGTCACTGCTGCTACTGCTACTGCTGTTATTGTCGTCATCATTGTTGTTGTTAGAAGTCTTTGGCTAGCGGCCAACAAGAGAATTGTTTGTTCGAACTTCTGCAGCTGCTGATGCTCCTGAGGTTAAATGTTACAAACCAATGTATGTAACGGCAGTCTGAGAGGACATTGTTGCCATGGCCATCACCATTGTTCATGCCGCGGTTGTTTCTATTTCCTTGCGAACGCAGGTGCCACCAGTTGACAAGCAAGCCACGCCCTGGGCAATCCAGCCCTAGTCCCACCCGTGGCCAGTGACAATGGTGGATTGAGAGGTGCTATAGACGGGTCCTGGTGCTTCACCCGCTGTGCATCTACAAATTAATATAGTCTGCTTTCTTCCCTGCTCGGCCACAGCTGACAGCATACACACATAATTATTGTTTTTTTTTCTTGACAGAAGTCTGCCACCAAGCTGCGCAATAGATGTTCTAGAGACAAAAAACGCTTGACTATCGGAAATATCGTGAAATCTGAGATGTCTCACGAAGCGCGCTTGGTGACAATATTCTGCTCTCGTTCCCATTACAAATTCTGTTCTGCTGTGCATGTAGGCATATAGCATACTATGTATTGTACTTTCAAGTACTGTACCGGGTACACATGGTACATGCACTATTATTTTTACTTCATCTTTATCTTCTTTACTTATAAAAGAGAGGCACCTGTGACGTGTGTCTGTGTGTGTGTGTGTGTGTGTCACGCTCCTTATAAAGAAGAGGCACCTGTGACGTGTGTTTTTGTGTCACGCTGAAGCGCTGCGGAGCAGCGCTGCCCTGAGCAAGCGCACGCGAAGCGTGCGAACAGTGTAGCACAGTGTAGCTAGCGGCCGCAGAAGCACTGAGCACGCGAAGCGTGCGAATCGTGTAGCTAGCGGAAGCAGCCACAGAAGCACTGAGCACGCGAAGCGTTCGAATCGTGTAGCCACCACCAAGTGCTGAGCACGCGAAGCGTGCGAACAGTGTAGGTACGGTGGTAGCGCTTATACTTACATAGCAGACACGATCAGTACGAGTAGCAGTAGCAGCCGCGCGCAGAACTGAGCACGCGAAGCGTGCGAATGTACCTAGCCTAGGCCATAGGTAGCACTAGCAGCCGCACAGCCACAAGCGCTGCGGACCACGTGAACCGTTCTCTGCAAATAGAAACATCTGCAACAAAAGGATACAAAAGATCTGCACTGACTGCACTCTGCATCTGATCTGCAGTGAAGAGCGCATCGCACTTTTGTTCGTAAGTTTATGAATTTTTTGAGCCGCTTCATCCGCCACCAGGTGATGGACAACCCTGACCAGCCTCCCGAAGGCGTAACAGACGTCCCTCCTTCTCCTTCCAACGATGAAGAACCTCACTTCAGCGGTCTGGCCACCACCACGTGCTGAGCACGTGTGCTGTTCATGTACTTGCTTCACCCGCATGCCACATTCGGCCAGGCAACGCTGGCGGGGGTGCTGCTAGTACAGTTTATATTTACAAATGCATTACTTGAGTATCCACTCATCGAGCCATTTTGAATGTTCATTGCGGATACATAAAGATATTTAAAATACAACAGAGAGCTCAAAACCTTTATATTCAAACCTTGCAAACACCGAAAGTCAGAAGTATGGGTGCTCGTGATGCGCGTGGCAAGATACGGAATTGGTGCTTTCTGTACGTTCACGAATCTGCGCACCGATGCATTCTTGTTCACAGCTATTTCCACGCACTAAACACGGGTGTGTGATTTCGCATTTTCTTATTTATCAAGATTTTCCAGTAGTGCCGTTCGGAGTTTAGACCAATGTCAGGCTAAGCGCATTACAATAACTGTAAAGAACCGGAAAGCAATAAAAAAAATACATGCAGGCGCAGGTAGATTAGAAATAATGGGGATCAATAATATAAAATAAATGAACATGGTAAACCAGCCTGGATTGCAGAACGCCCGGATGTTCATGAGAATTGGGCGGTGACATTTGAAACTAGTGCATGCCTATTGCTATCAGCTCAATAAAAAAGAACAAAAAATGGACTATGTGCATGGTGGAAAAGTCAACGTTAGCAGAATATACTGTATATGTACAGGTGGAGACTGGGGAGTTAAATACAGGTCTGGGTTGGTTATAAAAATGTATACAGAGTATGTATGGAGTATATATACAGAGTATGTACAGGGGTCTCTTGATGTAGGAACAGTCTACAGGGTTGCTGCTGCTGCTCGTGTGATGACCATCTTATCAGTGGTGATGGCCATAGGAGAGCACCAGGGGGAGGAAAATTCCGAACACCAGCAGTGCCAGCTGGCTGCGGTTCATCTTCTGCGAGTGCGACGAGGCACTGGAGGATGATCCCAACTCGGCGGATGCACTGGTGGTGCTGCTCACTGGTGCTTTACTGATTCCCGGTAGAACGTGCATTGTGGCAACGTAGAGAAACGTCCCCGCCGAAAACAGCATGCCAAGACCAGTAGCGTCCACATCTGCCAGCGCTTCCTTACTTTGCTGCAAAGTCAACAGAAGCAGACCCCGGATATATTTCAAGGTCTTCAAGGAACTTGAAATAAATGGCAGCAGAACCAGACGATGGGGCAGTCTAGCCTTGCATGTACTATTAATTTCGCAATCAGTGGCTCATGTGCACCACACCAAGGCATCAGCAGCTGACAGCACAACTCTGTATGTACCCGTGGCAAGTGACAGTGCCCAGTATCTATTGCAGGGCACACTTGTAATAAACCACATGTACACGATTGTACAGTGCTGGTCAAAAAAAACTGTCGAGCTGTGACTCTGGCTTTCACGTACTTGTAAGTATAAAGCAACCACCAGCCAGCACGGGCCAAAAGACCCGGCGTGTATTACCTATGCTGACAAGCATAGCACGCTAAGGACAAGGCTGAAACACAAAGAAAGACGTTCCCCAGCCATTCCGAGTGGTAACTTGCCACGTACCAGCATCAAAAGACTCAAAACCACTGTAAAACAAAAAGCAACGGAGAACATTCACCTACCCGACTGAGTCCCAGGTACGTGATCAGTGCGGCAATAGGAGCAGCCAGCGAGAATACCATCAGGCTGTGTCGTATTCTAACTTTATCAAATCCCTGAAGAATGCACACATAGCAGCCGATACGCACATCGCTTGTAGAATATAGTGAAGATTCTCAGGCACGAGGTCGGTATGATCTCTACAAGTACAGTAGACAGCACAATCCACTGAAGCATACTATGATACAAGACAGTGAGCCACTGTTGCTAGGATCTTCAGATCACTCACCTCGTGGAGCAAAAACGAAGTCAGGCCAAACGCTGCCGGCGCCTGGACCAAAGCAGAAAACGGATCATGATAAGTGCAAGAGTAGCAACAGAACTAGCTTTCAAGACAACCCACACAACACACATGAGCTAGTACATGTACCGTTCAGCACATACTGTGACATAGGCAGATGCAAACGCACACCGCGGCCTGCAGCACTTGAAATGAAAACTCGAGCTGTGAAGGACTTTTCAAGCACCAACCTTGTGCAGCATGATGGCGAGGAAGATCATGATTTCCACGTCAAGCCGGTTAGTTGCGGCTGCTCCCAGTGCGATTCCGTCAGCTGTCAGAAGAGACACACGCGTGGTTAACACCACACAATCAGTTGGGTGACAACAGGAGATGAAGGACATAGCCGGGGACCTGAAAATATCAAAACCTACAATGTGATGGCTGAACAAACAAGAATGCCCTCGCCTGGCTCGGCCCAGGCATACAAATGCAGATCAGTTTCCCAAAAATACTAGTACTCTGGCACCACAGCCGGAGATACACAGCTTGGATATGGTGTCAGAACAAAACAACAACAAAAATTAGCCGATTAAGCTTGGGAGTTCACATCTTTGAGCCTCTGACTGTGCCATTTGTGCACATACAAACCCATCAGGTATTCTTCCCTGCCTTGTTATGGTTGTGTGAGCAATGATGCCTTCTACAAAGCACTTGTGGTGCCAAGAAGAGAAAGACAAGAGTACAGCTAAAACTTCTCTTACCAGCAGCATGGACAACAAGTCCGATCAACGTTGTATTCGGTTTGTGCCGAGTTGCCTGAGCATCGCCATCTGAAAGCAACAACAATTCAATGCAGGAGGTCACCATGGGAGGTATCTCTAGGAATTGATACACACATAGAAATGTATTACTGTACCTACTTCAAGTAGAAGCATACACAGCCAGACAGGTATGGATGCTAGTCGACTCACCTGTCGGCGAAGTTGGCCCACCGTGCGAATGTCCACCGCTGCACTGGTCGATGAGCAGCATACAGACAAAGCCGAGCACCAGCATTGGACCGATGTAGGCATGCGCAGACTCGACTGGACTATGCTCATGTGTGTGGGCAACCCCTGCAGCCGCTGTGCACACGAGAGAAAGCAAACACCAACAAGAGCACAATATGGCAAGATGAGAGGATGACAGCGGTATTGCAGGGTACACTACATGTGCATGGCAATATTCGAATGGTATGCAAGGAACTAAACACTGTGCGCAACGTCCACTGGACTTGGAGGTGAGCAATTGACACACTGCACACACACACTGCACACACACACACTGCACACACACACACACACACACACCTTTGACCTTTGACGCCCATCGCCGGAGGCGATGATAGCAATGCTACGGCAGAAGCCATAGCAACTTGTGCTGGGATTACACCATTCAACAGCTTGCAAGGCTGAAGAATTGACCGTCACTATTCAGCCTGGTCTACACCATACAGCTATTTGGAGTGACATTTTCTGGCCAGTGAATCCCTATTTTTGGTCTTTTTCATTTTTTTTTTTTTTTTTTTTTTCCCCCGCACACACATCACACCACATACTCCGGCATGCACTGGCTGTTGGTAACCACCCAGGAGAATGAAAGAAAAGTCAGGAAGAGTCTGAGAAAGAGAAGAAAGACGTGTGTGACCATAATCGTCGGGAGTCGAACCCGCAATCTATCGATTGGAAATCGCTGCACATACCACTGCACCATATGGGACACACACACACACACACACACACACACACACACACACACACACACACAGACAGACAGACAAACAGACACATACACAATACTCTCCAGTGTGGATCGCCAGTGCCCCTAAGACAAATTTCAACGCCGCAATGGACAGTTACAGCTCGCAATAAGATCAATACTGGTTCTGATCCCACACAGATCCACTGACTTACTTTGTGAGCTGAGGACATTGGCCATTATACTGTCGCCAACTTTTCCCTTGCTACCATCAACGGCACCAACAGCGTCACCAGCAGCCACTGCCACTGCCTGATCCTGCAGAGAGCTTAGCGACCGCTTCGCAATCTGCTCGGCCCCAGCCAGCAGCGACGAGGAGGTTACTGGCTCATGTGTGTGCTTGTGTGAGAGAGCTGAGTTCAAAAGCACATGCAGAGGAAGTATCAGATACTTTGCCAATGGGTAAGGTCATTTCAGACGGCAATTACTGAGCTTGCATACCTACAAGTTTTCAGCACAGCAAGATAGTGACTGCAACCATGACTTAAGTAATCAGTTAGAGCATACATGTATAGTACACCAAGCAGTAAACAACATCAGTATTTGAATTTGTATTGTATTTGTATTTATGGATTCTCCACAGGCCTTAGCCTAAAATAAATCGAGGGAGTCAGTGAGCCACAGCAAAGCAAAAAAAACAAGTGCAGTTGTGCCAAGCAGGCAGGCACTTCATAGAAGCAGCAGTAGCAGCCTACCTGAATCGTATAAGGTATGGATACCCTCTGGTATGATGACAGCGAGAGCAGTGCCGACAAGTAGGCCAGCACCGGTTGTGGTCATTGCCCTCATGTTTGCCTGCAACACACAGCCAAAAACCAGCGTTACCAAGAGTACATATTTAACCCCCAAGAGTGTGCAACTCCAGCTATGGGGTCTGCGGTGGCAGAACTTCACATCACGTGACGAACCCGTACACAATATTTGCACCCAGTGCATGATAGATACTAGCAAGAGTACATAACCCCCAGAGTGTGCAACGCCTGATCCAGCTCTGCATAGGGTCTGGGTCGAGCGTAGTCAGATCTTCTGATGTCATGAGTACAATCCACACCAGCGCAAGGCCAGTCTCGAGGCAGGGCACCGTTGTTTTTGGTCCGAGACTACCCGCCACTCCCCGGGTTCCCCTCAGATGTGTGCGGTTTTATGACACAAAGATCCGATTACGCTCGACCCAGACCCTATGCAGAGCTGGATCAGGCGTTGCACACTCTGGGGGTTATGTACTCTTGGTTGTACTGGTACACAACCCTGCTTGGGGTACACGACGGCTATTGGTTAACTTGGGACTATTTACTAGCATAACCTATTGAACTGTGTGATGTGATGTGAAACTCCGTCACAACACTGGACAGAGAAAGTGCAAGCGACTTTGCAATCATGCGGGCTATGTACTTCTGGGAGTGCGTAGTGAGGAAACTGCGTTCTGCCACACACGTGAGCAGGAACTATCACAAGACAGCTGATAGGGACTCTCAGCTCAGCAGCTGATGAGCGGATCTGACGGGCCTAATCACACAATTTGTGTTGGAGGCACGTTTCTATACTACGTCTGAGGTCGGCAGCACTGTGAATATGTAGATAGGAAACAGATAGGCTATGGACTGACCTCGTTCGACAACTATGATCTGGTGATTATGCATTCCACACACTCCAGCTACTAGCTAGTGGTCACTGCAAGCACGCACACTCCCAGTCACACCACGAACCTAGACGCGCGCATCATGAATCGATCAGCTGCCTGATTTTTCTACGGCATTTGACTATCTGTGAACTGACTAAGGCGTACTTCAGGCCACACTGGCTTTATCTCTTCATTGTTCCTGACTTCACACAACACCAGGGAGAAGTTCTAGGTGGTGCTGTTGTTGATATGTGTTCTGTATACTAGTAGGTCATTGGATGATGAACGACTGACTGGTTACTACGAGAATATATTATAGCATGCACTCAAATACAAATTCGACTATCCAACCTACTATCCAACGTGCTCTCAATCACACTGTCACAATACTAATTATTAATAAATGCCATGGACAGTGCATTGGCCGCAGCGGTTACTCATGATTAAATATGGCAAAAGAATAGAAATATCATTTCAATAACGAAATACAGGAAAATAATAATTGACAACCAGATCAGTGCGCCAGCACTCAAACTCTAGCATTGACAATGTTACCTCAGAAAGAGTCATCGCCAGCGGCATCAGACCAGCCAGGAACGATCCAATGAACATGGTCGCTGACAACAGCAGCAGTCTTATTATTGTCTCCATTTTGCGTTGACAATTCAAGTCAACTTTCGACAAATTCTACGAAAATCATGTGTTGAATAACGGGGGAAGCGCTACGGCGTGTTGATCAAGCACAAGAGACCTCTGCTTAGGAATGAGGAATGGTAGATATGAACACTACAAGTGATCGTAGATCACTGAGAGTCTATGCTTGCACGACGAGCACCAGTAACCAGATGATCTACATCAAGCTGAGATTTCCCTTCATTTTACAGTCATCATGGTCATTGTCTTTTCTGGTCTTGAGTTGAATTATGACTTGTTGAATGTTGTTGACTGCCTTTTTGACTTGACTGTCTTCGTTTGTTATCATGACCATGCATGATGCACGCTGTGGTGAAGTCATGTACGCGTAGGGCCTAGGGCGCCGGCTCCGGCGCGCCGGGCGCGGCGCGGAGGCCCGGGCCGGGGCCCGGGAGTCCCTGGGCCCTGGCCTGTGCCAGGTCAACCGCGAATCTCGTACAGCTGGTAGCAAGAGTATTACCCCACCACTCGAAACACTGTGTATTGTACTCTTGAGCAGGGAGTGGTGCTTTCTTGCAGGTTTGCCGAGTGGACGGTTAGATGGACTTCTCGTGTGCTCTGGATGGCAGTCGTGAGTCAGTCAACGGTCGGCAGGAAAACCGCGAGCTCCCATGTAGGGAGCAACACACTCTTCCCTACTGTCGCCGAAGTCGCACCAACCTCTTCTTCACATTGTTGTCCCCAGCGCGGGCTTGCGAATTAGATGGTTTACCGTTTAGAGGCAACAACATTGTGAATGGCCAACGGTCCTCAGCGCTTGTTCAGCACCTCCATGGCATGAGCGACACTGACTCACGCTGCTATCTGGTGTTCACAAGGTGTTTGTCGCGCTGGAAACGGAGCGTCTCTGTAAGTTTGTATCCCTGGTGATGTTTGTGCCTGGAGAGCACTATACAAGTGGTGCTCTTCAGGCACTATCTTCCTCAGCCTACTCAAGCTCAACCGATGAGGGGTGAATTCCCCGAAACACTGTGTATTGAGCAGGGAGTGGTGCTTTCTTGCAGGTTTGCCGAGTGGACGGTTCGATGGACTTCTCGTGTGCTCTGGTTGGCAGTCGTGAGTCAGTCAAGTGAGAATTCAAGTCGGCAGGAAAACCGCGAGCTCCCATGTAGGGAGCAACACACACACACACACACACACACACACACACACACACACACACACACACACACACACACACACACACACACACACACACACACACACACACACACACACACACACACACACACACACACACACCTGGCCTGGTGTACAGCTGCCAAATGCTTGGCCACGCCGCCCCGAGACAGGGGAGAGTAGAAGAGAGAGAGTTCGAGAGAAGTCAGCACTGCCATTAGGAAGCCGCTCCGCCACGACGCCGTCCACGATTGCAATTGTGTCGCCGAAAGCCAGGAGCAGATTTAAAACAGCGATCACAGGTAGCGCAGTGCTGGTTGCAACACGGATGGCTGGTGATTGGTATGCGCTGGGGTGTGGGCGGTGATGCCGGGGCGGGTGTTGTGCACTTGTGCACAGCTAGTCCACCGGCACTTCGGAACCACCGAAGGCAGGCATGGCATTGGCGTCCGTCCGGCTGTTCCGCTACAGGCAGCTGGCGATCAGCAGAACATTTGTGTCGTCCGAGTCCAGATTTTCTCTTGAATGTCCGTTTACACACCAGGCAAGAGAGCGGTACCGGTACCGGGGCAGGACGCTGCACACGAGTGCGGTACGCATCTCTCCATTGCTGACGATCCTGGGCCAGAGTAAACCATTCAACAATTTGGCACAGTTTCATGTCTGACTGTATTCTGTCCTTCCACCGAAGACGAGGTCCCTGAGCTGGTCGGGGAGCGTCAAGCCATCCAAACAGCAACTGCTTAGGGAGACGGTTGTCAGGCATCCGAGCTACATGGCCCAACCACTGGAGGCGGCGACGACGCATAGTGTCCGACACCAGATCCTCATTCCCCCAACGCTTACGGAGGTCACAATTCCGGACATGATTCAACTCCTGATCCCAGCGCGAGACTCCCAGGATACACCGTAGACATTGATGATGGAAGTTGTCAATACGGATCTCATCACGACACACACACACACACACACACACACACACACACACACACACACACACACACACACACACACACACTCTTCCCCTACTATCGCCGAAGTCGCACCAACCCCTTCACACTGATAATACCAAGATGTACCCCCCCCCCCCCCCCAGGGCAGGGGATTACATGCATATATTATTATACTCTTGATAATACCAAGAGTCCATGTATATGTACATATATGTCTGGTTTATGGACTCTTGATACCAGGTCCGGTGAGTACATTAACCTTTTTATGTACTCTTCACAATAATACTGGCAGCACCAGGCCGGTGCAGGCTCAGCTCCCTGGGCCGCTGAGCTGTGAGCACCTACAATGCACATGTGCCACGCTACAGTTCAGTCATGTTCAGGGAGTACCGGTAATAGCAAGAGTTCATAATCCCTGGGGGTTATGAACTCTTGGCTGCAGTCAGTACGAGTCGTAGTGGAAGTTTTGATAGGGAAGGCCCTGCAGACGTTGCCATCTTGTTAGGGAACCCTGAGTACGAGTGCTGACTTTACTGAGCGAAATAAAAGCGGATAGATCCTCAACTTGACGACACGAGACAAGCAGACAATTCCACCAAAAAGAAAGAAAGAACTCATATAGTCATAGTAGAGAACATGCCGAGTTCCGACCCCGCGGATGCGAATGCCTGAAGCCCCTACCATCGCAACAGATAAAACGAAACCCGGATCAGTAGCCTGCCCATCACGGCAGCGGAATACACAAGTGTTTGTTTTTTGTTGACAACCAAAGCAGCCAATGAATTTAGAAATAGAATGCGGGTTTCCTTGCCCGGCAGGGCCGCCACACCCGAGGTTGAAAACACCAGTGGAGTGAATGATGCTCTCTCCACCGGGTTAACTTTTTTATATTTTTTTAATGGGAACACAGCCCTAGGCCCTACAAAGAGACATGTGGAGACAAACACAAGACAAGACACAGGGGATGTAGGGACGACGTGCCGATGTACAGGGAGCAACTCGACCGACCAGGGGTCTCGGCGTTAGCGTTGCAACCTGGCATCGAAAAAGGGGGGGGGGGGTTGCATGGTCAGGTAGCAAAAATAATAATTTGGTGCGAGAAAGGGGCGCTAGTATTGCACCAAATAAATTAAATACGTGTAATGACTAAACCAGAAGGGAAAATGAAGAAAGAGAACAATAATCATAACAAGCAAGTACTAGTTGAGAGGTAAATACTAAATGGGTCTCAATATCATCGTCACAGGTACTGTGTGGACCACAGCCATCTCTTTCGGATTAGATCCTTACATACGTTGACCTTGATGGTTTGGAGGCGTCTTGAATGAGGCTCGTGAAGCAGGAGGTCCGCAGGCAGGTTGTTCCAGGGTGTGATGGCGAAGAAGGGGGAGGATGACAGGAGGTAGTCAGGGGCTGTGCGAGGGGGTGTCCACTTCAGCTGAAAGGCATGGTGCGTCTGACGTTTTTGCCGTGTGCACATGCTAGCTACGGCAGGGGGCTTGGTTGGTGGCAGCATGGCCTTTACCTGGGGAGGCCCTGGAATGTAGTGCAGCTTGAATAAGTATGACAGGGCTGCCACCATCCGACGAAGCTGAAGACTTTGGACGATGGTTCCAGGTCCCAGGAAATGCAGGGCACGTTGCTGAACCTTGTCCAGCTGGGCCATGTTAGTTGTGGCTGCGCTCGACCAGGCCAGTGGGGCATATTCAAGTAGGGGTCGCACGAATCCCTTAAGTTGTAGACCGTCACTCGACCATGGTCGTCCAGGATGGGTGCTGCCTTTCGTAGGAAACCCAGCCTTTGGGAGGCGCGCAGTGCAACACTGCGAGTGTGCGCTCTGTAGGAGAGAGTAGGGTCGAGCATGACTCCCAGCAGCCTCAGGGTATCTGTCTCCTGGAGTGCTTCACCTCCAAAGGTGACTGGTGGAGTTCAGGGGGGAAACGTGCTTGCGAAACTTAATCTGGCACCATACGCCGCCTTCATTCGCTCGTCACGGTGCAGTTCTCGGGTGGCTAAGGATTTCTGGACGACACAGCAAGGACGGCCCAAGGTCAGTGACTCTTACATCAAAAAGGCGTCCTGTTGCGGCAGCCGCGACCAGAAACGGAGAAACCCCTCGTACATGTATGTCCAGGCGTGCCTCTGGCTGACGATTAGCCGAGGCGGGAGAGATGTCCTCACCATGTACTTGGAGCAAACCGTTGAAACGTGGCTCGACCTCGACAATGGGCAGTACCTCCTGCACCATGTCTACGCCGGCCAGACGGTCCCAGAGCTCATCACGATGAGCTGATGCATGGATAGCCATCGGTCGGGCACGTAAGAGTGTGGTGGGTATCAACTATTCATGGACTTCACACAGAAACAATGGTCACATAGTTACACTTTCCAATGGAAGACCATAGCGCACACATAGCCCGTCTCTAAAGTCCTACTTCTTCAGCAAAGTGCGGTTATCCAGAACGGTTGTGTTGTCAACTACCGGTACTACACTGTACTAGTAGTACATTGAGTACGCTGACACATCCTTTTCGTATGATACTGCCAGCAGCTGCCGCTGGATAGGTGAGAGTAGGCACCCGGCCCCGTGTAATATGCCGGCATTTTTTTGAGCATTTTCGGTACAATCCGCGAACCCAGCACTTTGGGCTCGTGATGCAGCATTTTGTTGGAAACGGAGCACTTGGCCGTTGTGTATCAAAATTGAGAGAAGAAAAACTTCCCAAACAAGAACGTCACTTCCGCATTCCGTGGGTTAGCTTCTTGTTGAGTAGTTTATGAATTGTTTACCATGGCAGACTCGAGCAAGTCTCTTATTGAGTATTTTCTGACTCCCTGGTTTTGACGGCGTGTGCTGAGGATGACAAAAAAGTGAGCATTTTCCGAGCATTTTCGGCAAGATTTGGGAGCATTTTCGGCAAGGTTTACGAGAATTTCCCAAAAGCATTTCGGCAAAGTTTCGGGCATATTACACCGGGGCCTAGGTGGGAGCTCGGCAGCAGTAAACTCTGTCTGCTGCTGCCGGCACCCACTGACCTTTCCTGGCCCTTTTTTCGGGCGATGCTTCATGCCTCACCGACGGCTTCAAGAACATGATTATCCGTGCCCACTGCGGAGGTTGCCACTGCTACGGTGGAG